GACTTTTATTGAAAGTGCTAAGTTGTACCATTGGCATTGTTGTTGTTTCCTCTACATTAGATCTTGTTGAAGGTCGTGTGTTCGAATTCCCTATGGAATAATTTTATTTATTTTTTTCAAGAATATCCTCCAAAAAAAAGCTGAAAAAGACCCAAAAAATTTAAGAAAAACCGGCCAAAAAAGGTCCAACAACAAAAAAATGTTTAATTTTTTGCCCAAAATGAAAAAGTCCAATCAGAAGCCCAAACCGCCAATCCGCCCAAACTAAACCGTTAAAAACGGATTGAATTGGTCCGGATTATACACTAATCCGGTCCGGTTACGGATTGAAAATTTTTCAAACCGTAATGAACGGTTTGGTTACGGATTGCTATCAATCCGGACCAATCCGGACCATGAACACCCCTACCCATGATACATTGTGTTATTGTTCCCAAGAATTTTGCTAGGGTTATCCTACCCTAAACCAAAACATTTTCCACCCTCCAATTTTTAACTTTCAATTTTATTTCGTTCAAAAGCAGACTAAATATCTGGGTCTTCTTCTTAGAGAATCTAAGTCGAATCTTAGATATTTCCTTTCTAGCAAACTCCTATTAATATTAAGCATAATAGACAGATAGGATCTCATAGACACCTCTGTATTTGAACTTATCAAATGAAAATACTTTTGAAAATTGATTCTTTGCCCCCTAAACTCGTCAAAAGTTTTGAGCATTTTTGCTAGTTGAACTATCCCAACATTGAGTTTTCAAGAAATATAATACAATCATCCGCGAACATCAAGTACAACATTTTCGGTATCCTTCTTCCAACCTGAATCTCCTTACCCACTAACTCAAATTTCTTGCGCACTACCTCAAACCCCGTACGGAGACTAATAACTCTATCTTAATTCCATTGAAGGCTACTGACTGCCTCAATGTTAAAACACACTATGAAACCCACCTTTTCCATAATTGAAGGAATCTCATCTTCTCCATTATCCAGAAACTCCCAAGAAATTCTATCATAAGGTTTGCCTATGTCTAATTTTAAAGCTAAAAAGCTGTGTTTCCCCTTCTTCTTCTTCCTTACGAACTCAATTAACTCCTGAGCTATGAGCGCATTTTCTATAATCAGCCTTCTAGGAGCAAAGGCCACATGGTTCTCCTGCACTACCTCATTGACCACTCCTCTTAAACGATTGGCCAACTCCTTCACCACTATCTAATACGTAATATTCACAAGTGGATCGGGCTAAAATCATCTGGACGAATTGGATTCACCTTTTTTTTTGATAATTACCAGTATCGTTTTATCTCCATTACTACCGTCCAAAAGAATTATTTTACCACTTCCACTAGCCACATGCCAATATTCCTGATAAAATCCTGGAGGATAGCCGTCTTCCCCTGGTTCCTTTCATTTTCTCATTTGGAACATGTCTTTCTTAATCTTTTCACTAGTCACTTCCTTAACTAGTGCCTCTTTGCTCTAGATAGAAATCCTTTCTTCTACCATACCAAGCACTACTTTTATTGGGCAATAACTGTGACCTTGACATGATTGACCATTAGTTCTTTGATTTCCTCTTGATCTGTTGTCCAGTCTTTGCTTTTCTTTTTCAACTGGGTGATGTAATTTCTTCTTTTCCTCTTCTTTATCCAATTATGGAAGAACTTTGTATTTTCTTCTCCTTCGATTGCCCATTTGACCTTGACTCTTTTATTCTTAGTACTTCCTTTGATCTTCTAAGAGCACATCAAGCTCGTGACTCAACTCTTTCGTTGCTTCCTATGCCCTATGTTTTCTTCATATCCGTTTCATGAGCTCTTTAATTCTTGAATCAATCTATCCAATCGATTGCCTATTCTGGTTTTGTAAATTTCTCACCACTGTCTGCAGCGCCCTTGAAAAACCTGTTGCCTTATTGGCTCACTTAGAAGACTATCATTATCTAACTAACTTTAGCTAATAATTTGATCTGTTGCCTCCTAGTTGATCCAAAACCTCTCAAAGTTTGGTTTCATATGACCCCTCCTGTGCATACGCCACAACTTTAGCATCATTGAGCCATGATCTGACCTCATATTTGACATGTTCTCTAGGATCACTGTATCAAATATTTGGAGCTACTCCTAATTAACAAAAGCCTTATCCAATCATACTAATATTTCTTTTGAACCCTGTTTCCCACTCTTCCTCGGCATATTACCTCCTTTTTTTTTTTTTTTTTATCTATGTCGTTAACCACATTATTAAAGTCTCCCATTAGGACTAACGGGCCATGGTAATGGCCAATCACCTTCATCTCTGATAGCTCCACCACTGAAGTCGCGCCTTCTATGTTCTGCATCGGTCATTTGATTACTTCACCTTCAACGGCCACACCTCCACCTTCCTGTGGTGGAGAGCCGAAAATATTTTGAACCACTGCTCCATTGCCCGATGCCAATACTAGAAGGGTATTGGTTTAATCCTTCCAAAAAAAATTCCTACATCAAACTGCCTAAAAATTTTCCTCCGATTCAACTATTAACATATCTCCCTGATCTCTCCCTTCGTGGCCCTTTATATGGCTCTAGTTGATTGTAGCATTATAGCTCTTGTCCTCATTTCTTTTCGGGAATTCTCCAAGTTAGCACAGGTTCCACAAATCTCATCTGAACCTCAACACCTTTGTCTCCTGTTTTGTTCATAATCCTGTCCCGTTCTTCGTTCTTGTTAAGGCCAGCTTGACTTGCCCTGATGCCCACCTCTCCGCCTAAATTCTATAACTCCAACGTCATCCCCATAAGCTATCTTTAGGGGTTACTATGACATCCGTCAACAATTCAAATCTAAAGAATAGATGATGTTATGTATTGAAATTCTGTGATATGATACCTTCGATGATTTAAACTTTCCATGACTGGCATTGGAATTTATGCACTGGTGTTAGAAGTTTCATCTTGAGGTTATTGAAAATCTTGCGATTGGAAAGTATGGTTTGATGTGAAAAATCAATCAAAATTAAGGTTGACAGGGGTTGATAACAAGGACCGATGCACATACAAAGGAAACAGAGCAATTGCCCAGTTGGGATTTCTTTTCTTTTTTTTTTTTTTTGCTATTAACCCTTTGAAATTTTAGAATTTTTCTTTTAAAAAGTAGTTTTTGCTCCACCTAAATTGAAAATATTGGGAGTAAGTATATTAACTTAGAGCAACTCCATTGGTTTACCATGTGTAGTTAAAAGTGTGTGCTGTTTTTTTGACATTCTTCACTTTTCTTTGTACCCAACTCTTCAGCACAATGGTTTTACCCATTTTTTGGGGGCCATTTTTCACTTTCAAATTTTTTATTTATAAAAGGTAATCTGCAAATATTCAGTTAAGCCCCACATTCACAGCAACATACTGGGAAGGCTAAAATTAACGGAGAGCAACTACTCAACTCTCTCTAATGAGGAGAGAGTTGAGTCATGGTGCACTTAGAGCAAGGACAATGACTAAACCATTTTGACTGAATTTGTCAGTGCCACATCATATTCTTCAACGATCTCTCCACCTTGATTTTTTCCCACAATGGTTCTTTTAGATCCCGGGCTCTTTTTTTTAATTCTTTTTATTTCTTGTGTTTTAAACTTATGTAGCAGACCACTACTGATAAGGGGCCACATGTAATAAAAGTGGCCAAAAATGGTGGTTTGCCTGCACTATCTCGTTCAGTGTCGCTCAACTCTTACATTGGTCGAATTGTAAAAAGTGGGTGTAGTGTCAGACACTACACCCTCTATTGTGATTGCTCTTACTACCAGTAAACATGCTCTTAGAAATTTTAAAAAATTTCCCCTGTCACATATAGGGGGCTTGGCTCCACCTTAGTTGATAATAAGAATACTCACCCCGTCCCAAAATCATTGTCCAGTTTAGATTTTTACTTTTAATTTAATTTATTCTAAAAATGAAAATCCAATTTGAATAATAATTTTGGGATAGAGGAAGTATAGTTTGATAAAGGCAATTAGTTTGTTTGCACGTCATTTTCCATGTTGTGAGCAAGTTTTCTATCATTCATGGTAAGTAGGGCGGTATCAGTTAGTTGATTACATGTAAAGAGGGGAAAAATTATATATTTGGTTCTTTTTCTCAATGGTTTTTTCAAATTTTTTTATTAATAAATGTCTCATTTAAACATACCTTTTTAAATCTTCAATACACTTTGTTACATTTTTAATACAAAAAATCCTTAAAACCACATATTGAAAAATCAATCCAATCATATCAAAGGTTCAAAATTCAGAGAGTAAAATATTGTTCTCCCTATTATTTTTTCTCGAATGAGATGGATTTAAAGGTAGAAAGATTGAGAAAAATAAGGGCTTATTTGGTCAATGACCAATTTTTAGTTTTTGTTTTAGTTTTTGATTTGGGTTTGAGATATGATTTGAAATGTGGTTTGAGATAAAATTTAAAAACTTGTTTAGGTAATATTTTAAATAAAATAATAATATTTTTAGACCACCACCAGCGCCACCGACGACCGGCCGAATTCCGATCAAATTCCGGCCAACTCGCTGGTCAGCGGCCGGACCACCGCCGGACGGCGACCGGCCCCGGCCAACTCGCTGGCGGTGGCAAGGGGTGGTCCACTGGTGGCGGGTGATGGTGGAGATGGTCCGGTGGTGGTGAACGAGAATTGTGTGAAAATAATTTTTGAAACATTTTTTAAAAGGTAAATTAAAAAATTATTTAGATAGTATTGGGATTTGTGTTTGAGAGGAGACAAAAAGTCAAAACAAGACCTTAACATTTTAAGTCCATTGTTAAAGGAGGATCAGAAACAGAAATTTCTGAACTATAAGGAAAAAAGACTAATTGTCCCACCAATCCAGGTGCATATAATTCAGCGAGGGGGATTAGTCACTGTTATTGACGTGGACACTCTCAAAATATATATATAAAAAAAGAGAGACTAGAAGACAAGTAAAAAAAAGGCTTCAGCCTTTACAAAGAGTCGTCAATTGGGACAACAAAAAAAACTCAAAAAAGTATCCAGAAGAAAAGCAGACCATAACCCCACAAAGTGCACACACACACACTCGGACGTGAACTCAGTCATCAACCAAAACCAAAAAGCCTATCCCATTTACTACTACATAATAACCCAACGATAACTGAAAAACTATCCTCCAGAAAAAGAGTAGACACTTTTACAAAAGCACTACGAAACTCTTCCTCCTCAGAGACATTTTACACAACACAGTTCCCAAGCACACAGACAAAAAAGTCTCAGAAATGGCAGCACCTGAAGAACCAAAAGAGCAACCCCTACTTGAAGAAGAACAGTTTGAGAAGCTTTTATCCTCATATTTAGGCTTAAGTTTCACAATTTTTCTTGGGTTGCTACCCAAAAATTCAATCTCTTTGATCCCTAGCCTAAAGACCCAGAATAAAGATCTCAACTTTAAGCTCAGGAAAGCAGAGGAACAGCTTGAACAGCTTCATTCTCGTAGGAAAGAGGATTCTAAAGCCAATGCAAGAGTTGTGGAGATCTTTGCTAGCCATAGGCATGCTTGGCAGCAAGAAGAGAAGAGATTACTGCAGCAGATCGACGAGGGCGGTGATGAAATTACTCATTTGAGAGCTAAAGTTGAAGAGTTGGAGAAATTGGAGTCCGAGTTGAGGGATGGTATAGAAGAGCTGAAGAGGGAAGTTAATGAAAGAGATGAAATGTTGAATTTCATGAGTACCAATGGAAGGGCATGTGAGATGGAAAACAGCTATTGCGGTGGCGGTGGTGGTGGCGGTGAAGGTTTTGACGGAGGTGGTGGGGAGTGCTATCCGGAGATGGAATTGAGGTATGGGAAGGGTGGGGTTTCAAAAGGCTTGGATTTGGGAGGTGAGGATTGTTACTTGGGTGGTGGGGTTCATAGCATGGAGGAAATGGAAAATCTTTGTGGGCAAAGTAATGGGTTCAGTGCAGAGTTCTTGAATCCTGCTTCCAAATTATGGACTGAAAGAGGAAAACTTTGGCAGGTACAGTCTTGGTGGTGAACATTTTTCTTTTCTCTAGAACTTTGTGTGTATATGTTAAAATGTTAGAAATTATTATCACAGGAAAGGGAAACAAGGATGCAAGTTATTTTCTTCGAATTTTAATTACATAGGGGAATGGTTCAAAAAAACTTACGGAAATAAAAGGATTAAAGATACTGTTTGGTATAATATTTTGAAAGTTGTCTTTGAGAAACTGTATCAGAATATGCATTTGTTACTACTAACATTTGCCAAGGTTCCTCTTTTCCCCTTTTTATGTTCAATGATAGCTCTAGTTTCATGTAATCATCCTAGGTTATCAACCCTGTGAACGAACCTAATATTTGGAACTCTAGAATTTCTGTTGTTGAAAAAGGAAATATGGAATTGTTTAGTTGGATGATATTCGTTTGGCATTGCTTTCCCGTTGGACCACTGGCTTCTAAAATGTCATTTTCAGGGTTTATCCCTACAGCCTGCATTCCATCAGTGTATAATGCTGTTGATAATGACCCCAAGATAATAATAGAGCTAACTAATTTAGATAAAAATCCTCATGAAGCTGAAAATAAAAACGCAAGGGGTTTCAGAAAAATGCATGACTCTTTGTCTGGACCCGAGTTTCTTAGACGATAAAGTAATCATGCAGTTATGGATTGGGGTCATATCGTGGAGTCATATGATGTCCATTCAGTCATCACATATGCATATGCCGTAGATCTTGCTGATTGTTGTCAATTTGTGAAACAGACACAAGGGATAATGATCCTTCCCTTGATTTCGCTTTTGGTTCCTTGTAGTCTATTTGGATGGTTTCAGTTAGTGTTCCATACTCTTAACTAACCTCTTACATGGCTTCTGGTAGAAATTGCAATACTGAAATGTTTGCTTTTACTGGATGATCAATTTGTTATAGTTCTTTCTTCCCAACTTTCGCAGAATGTGACATTTTTATTGACTGGATGTGGATGCACATACAATTTGTTCGGTTAAAGTTGGTTCACCTTTCATTTATTGATTTCCGTTATTCCGGAATGTCTCGTTTTACTTTTTTAATCTTGAAAATTTTGTTTCATATCTCTCATGGATGTATATGTCCATCGGTTTTGTGTACAGTTTCGTCTCCCAATTGATACCAAGGAGCTGAGATGCTGAATTTTAATTATGTTGGTTTATTTTCCTACACAGATACTAACTTAAGAAGCTTAAAATGCAGGACGTTCCATACGAGTCTCTTGAACCCCGTTATCATTTGAAGCATTTTGTAGCTAGGTGAGATTTCACCACTATGTGGACATCTTTTATTCAAAACAAATAGGTTATAATTCATGCTTATATTATGAACTGAATACCTCTTGCTTTTTCAGAAGGGAATCCCCTTGGAAAGTAGACGGTGACTCAACCGGAGTTTCGTCAAAATTAAAATTATTGGAACAGGAGCTAATTAATCTGGAAAAAGTTGGAAAGACTGATCTATCAAAGATTCCATCACTACTGAGAAAGCAGGCAAAGAGGTACCAGACTCTTTCCGGGAAGATTGATGATCTATGCCGAAGAATGGTGATTCCCTAATTTTTCATTTATTTTCTCTGTCAGTAATCTGGTACTGTGGTACATGCATTTTCTCTATTCCTGTAATGGATACGTGATTAACCTTCCCCGAATTTTCTGCATGATCTCAGAGGCAAAACAGTAATGTCAAATGCTGACAAATTTGCCACTCATTTTGGAGTCATTTGGCTTTCACTTTGAGATGTGCTCAAAGGATATGTGAGTTTGAATATAGTCCACCCTGCTCACCCAGAAAAGATATAAGTTTAAATATGATCCTTAGTGGATAGGGAATTTGATCATCAATTCGTTCACCCACCTCACTTGAAACCCATTAAATCTGTATAAAATGTTTACAGCTGATGCTATAACTTTAAGCAGCATCTATCAGCTTCCTTTCTGTCCCTGTCCATACAGAACAAATCATGTTTGATGTTTGCTTTTTTACTTTAGGTTCCTTTGCATCTATAACTGTTAAAAGTTAAAACAGAAGCCCGGTTACTTAAACTGCTTAGTATTTTTCTGAGCAAGTTTGTTTGCTTTTTATTCTTTTGCTGCAGCAAGCTAGTGATCCATGTGAAGCCAACGTCAGTTCGGAGTTTCGAACACAGAGACAAACAGAATTTTTGCTTGAAGCATTTCGGCTACAGCACCGTGCTGCTGAAACTTCTCAGAAGCTGATAGCATTGCAAACTGAGACAGGAAAGAGTTGTTTAGAAGATGAGCTAGAATGTCCTGCCAAAGTAACCACAAGACGGTCATTTGACTGTATAAGAAACAATTTCAAGGAGATCCAGCGAAATTTAGAGATATGGCTCGCTAGAATTATTGGAGATCTTGAAGGAATTCTTGCTCGAGATGGAGCCTCCCGGATGAGGGAATACTACATTTCTAGATATCCTTTTGTTCAGGTGTAGTATAATTGCGCCCTTTGATAGCATAATCCGGTAACATTTTAGAATCACTACTAAAAGGCAAGTATATATAGTTTCTCTTAGCATTTTGGTGCAATTAGAATCAAGTGGTATATATTCTTACTTGTTGGTTGTTACTGAATATGGAAAGAAACCAAGATCTGCAAACTGAATTCCCTAACGCTTTTGAACTAAGTAGGTGGTACTTCATCGTGTCATTAAAATTCCATGGAAATGGATTCAAATCATATGGCGAAATTGTGGTAGAACTCACGGTACAGATACCAGTGGGTATGGCATTTTTTTTAGTGTATCAATGTTTAGAACTGTGCATTTCAGGGATGTTCCTCATGTTTCTGGTAATGAAATCAATAGCGTCTTTGTTTGGAGGCTTTTACTGTAGTTATTTCGACTTTGCAAAGCTCCAACTAACCTTGTGTTCAAAGTTCAACAGCCAACTACACTGGCTGTAATGTTGCTAAACTCTACTGTTACAGAAAAATTCAATCCTTAACTTTGGTCCTTTTGTTCCTGGGGGAAATCAGATTAGTTTTTGGCCTTGCCATTGGATGCATGGTTCTCAGGTGGATAGATGAGGTTTGACATGCATTAGGTTAGAGATGCAGTTAGTGGCAACGCCGGCAGGACAAGATCTCTTAAGAGTTTACATTGCCCCTTCTAAAATAAATAAGAGACTTGTTTGTATGCAAAAACACAACTTTTATTTTGGGTCATTAGTTTGATGGATGAAAGGTTATTAAGGTACATTCGAATAAATTGCGCTTCCTTTTGCTTAATATAAAATGTGCTTTGATTAAAAAAAAAAAAAAAAAGGCATTTCGCTCAAAGGAAAAAGATTGCAGTCAAGTCTAGCAAGCTACTGGTAAATGAAGCAGATGTTAGTTTGAACAATGTAGATGGATCTTACCCTCATTGAATCCAATTTGTTGCTTTGAACAATGTCGATCGATCTTAACCTTATTGAAACTTAAATTGGATTCCGAAGAAACATCCAAATTTGATGCGAAAAAATGGGCAACACTTATAATTGTGGATAGAGTGCAAGTCTTTTGACGGCCAGTAGGAGTAATCAGCTGATAAAGTTGAATTTAACAACACATAGGGTTTAAAGCACATGGATGTGGTACCATACGATCAAGTTGGCACATGCTTTTGTCTTCTACCGTAGACAGAGGAAACTATTGTTCTTCAGGCTGCTTAACCATATTGATGAGGAAGAAATCATTTAACCCTATCTTGAAGATGAATAAAAGTAACTCTCACCTAATATTTCGCTCTCATAAATACATCAATCAGGAAATCTGCTGATATGCAAAAGAGGTCGTTCGGTTATCTTTAATTATTACAGTGAATCCTCTTGTGCATTTCTTTTTTGCTACTTCTACCCTAATTATTCACCCACAAACTCATCCATCCCCTACCCTGCGCCCGCTGACAAATCGAACTCGCGACCTCTTCGTACAGAAAAGAATTTTTGTGCACAAAAAATATTGCCAGAAATGATCGCAAAAGCAGCAAATCAGTGCTCTAGAAATGTAGCTTGCGAACTGCAACATATGAAAGTAACATTCCATTTCACTGGAAATAGTTTGGAGAGTAGTTTCCTTAAAAAGGAGCATATGAACCGAGCTTAAATATTAGTCAACACCAGAACATGAACTAATCCAGAAACCAGAAAGGTATATCATCCATAATTTGCTCTGCATTGATGAAATACAACGCCAAAGCAAGAAGTTCAGACACAGTCACATTACACTTTTATAAAGTAGCATAATAATAGAAATGACACAAATAGCAGTTGCATTATATAGAGAGGAACCCCAGTAGAAACCAATAGATGATCCCCTCAATACTTGGGCACCTTAGGAAGAAGCAGCTGCTTCCTGTAACTGCTTCACCTTGGTGATGTAATCACTCATTGCCTCGTCCTTGGATTTTCCTGTCAGGCATAAACACATCGAAGGATTACACTAAGTGGCCAGAAACCTAAGCAGTTCGGCTACAAAAGACATTATAAAGTTCAACCAAATACGGTGAATTAACTACCTTCGACGGCCTTCCATGCGTCCCACTTAGCCCTGTCTCTCTGGTTGAAGATACCAGGACGGCCTGCCAGTTAAAGCCCGATCAAAAGTGAGAAACAATTACCGAACAACTTCAGGTTGATGAAATGGCATAACTGAGCATATTAAAAACAGTAAATAGTGACAAAGCACATGAAGCAGGTAAGAGTACTAACTTGTGTTTACATCTCCAACAGTGGCCTGCTTGTAAAGTCCATACAGAATAAGCTTGTTTTCGTTGCTGGTGTTCTCAGGCAGGGTCTTGGCTTTCTCAGCATACTCCTCAAATTCTTCCTGAAACAGCATCAGTAGATTAAATATTCTGATGGTGGTTAATATTCACTAACAAGTAAGAAAATCAACTCAGAACAGCAAACCACTATCTTGGAGGGAAATAAATTTTAAAGTAAGAAACCAAAACTAAAGAAATTTATCCTTGTCCACCGGAGAGGATTTCTCAAACGAAATTACAGAGAAGTAAACTAACTCTAAAGTATGCACATCAGCAATTTTTGACACACACACACACACACACACACACACACACACAAAAAAAAACACAACGACAACAACAACAACTCAAGAAACACATAATAAGGTTTGAGCATGTTGGTCCTCGTAAAACATCGGTTTGCTATGAGATCACAGTAGCTTAACCAGAAAAAAATGTGCAAACCCTAAGCACAAATATTCTCACTTGAAATCCATGAAAAGGTAGGGCAGACTTTTGGGAAGTTATACAACCAATTTGTGAACTTCATATAGGTAGAGAAACATATGAGCATATTTGAACTAGTAAACAGTGCAGTACAACAAAATTGTAAACTCCCTTATAGGACAAAAGAATACAAGCCACTTTTCCTATTCTATCCAAAGATGCAACAATCATGTGCTGAACGTACAATCTGCCGAGGAATCAGAGTGATCAGAATAAGGCACTGTAGACAGGCCATTCATTCAGATAGCAGAGTAAAAGATAAAAATAAGGCACAATAGACAGCGTAGACATCCGGATAGCAGAGGAAAAGATAAAAACTCAAATCACATTGTTTCCATGCTGAATTTCACAAATAAATTTATGTGGTTCCAAAAATTTAACAAACAGACTTGATAGCTTGAATAGCCCAGTTCGTGAACTTAGGTCAATAATGTTAACAAGTGATGGACAAAAGCAGAAAATTTAATGAGCACGGCTTGATTGCTCGAATAGTCCAGTTTGTGTACTCGGATCAACAAAGCTAACAAGTGAAGGACAAAACTGACAGTATACAGGAAGCCAGATTTTAATAATATAATAAGCATGTCCTATGATTCTTCCAGTTCAATTCTTGACAGCAACACAAATGAAAACAAGGCCAGCAATAGGTCACATAAACACTCCCAAGTGGTAAAAGGTTGTCAACAAAATATATGTACACTTATTAGCCCCAATAATCATTGATTACTATTTGATTGTTGCACATGATAAAATGCAACTAATTACTAACTTATCCAACAAAAGTAAAAACTGTAAGGCGGAAATCGGTTGCAATAGGTAATAACAAAGGATTCTCCCACAGTGTTTATTTGTTAGTTTCTTTTTTTCCTCCATCCGCAAGATCTAAAACCTGAAAGTATTACCTGAACAACACATTGTGCAAATTTCCCACCAAATGTATCAGAGTAGTTTTGGAATGGATCAAGAACAATATCTTGCCAAAGTAGTTTGAGACAGATCCTTTGCAAGACTAATCGAACAATACTGAATTCACTATGTTCCATCCCGAGCACTGATAAAATTTGCCTAAAATCATATCTAACTGCAAACATCCAGAACATGTGGCAAGTTTGCACATGTTTAACCGTAGAACACAAAATTTGGAAAAATTCACCAAAATCATGGATGTAAAGCTTAATCAATCAATGCTTTAGAAAGAATCCAAACACGTGCTAATTATGCACGTGTTCAACAGTAGATAACAAAATTTGGAAAACTTCATCTAATCACTGATGTAAAACTTAACCAATCATTGCTTTAACAAGAATCCAACACGGAACCGTACCAATTTTAGCGGCTTATTTGAATTAGAACAGAAAAATAACCCATCAACAAACAGATAATGAGTAAGATCACACTCCAACTTAACGCAACTGATACAAATCAACCATACAGGTTACATAGATCTCAAGATAAAGACTCAATAAGAAGGGAAAAGCAAATCCCAAAGGTAAATTCCAACGGGAAAAACAGAATAATCAGCCAATTATCTTCAATACTCTCCAGTTCACAGAATCATGCATACGAAACAAAAGGAAATTGACGGTAAACGTGCTTAAGAGAAGAAAAGAAAAAAACTCACAAAATTGTACCGATCAAATAATGAAAGAAACTTGATCTTTCAATACCGGATAAGTTACCTGCAAACCCATCTTTGTTTTGCTGTGCAGAGATGACGAATAAAGTTTGCTTTGTGATTCTCGCCAGTAATGCCAGTGGAGAACTTGTTCGTGAAAACTGTTGATTGTGCTGCTATTTATATTTGGGCTTTGGAGGATGGATATTCGTCTTTACAGGGTATTCTACACGTGGCTGGTTGGTGACAGATTGGCCCATGCTTGTCTTTTTATCTGATTATCATTTCAAAGAAATAGATATACTGTAATTTTTCCTTTTTTTTTTTTATTTTAAAAAAAAAAGAAAGAAAAAATTCCGGAATCCGATGTTTTCCTTTCCCTTCAGTTTACTCTTATATATTTTTTCTCATAATAAAAATAATCTTCAGTTTACTCTTCCTTTAAAGATATGATTATAATAAATTCGGTAAAAATCCCATAAATGATAGGAGAAACTTAATGGAGAAGACCAAGTTATATTATTTGTTATACTCTCTCCGTCCTATAATTATTGTCCACTTTGTCTAAAAAATTTTGTCCCAAAATTATTGTCCAATTTGACTTTTTATGGATCAAGTTACACATTTGTCCTTAGTAAAAAACATTATCCATAAAATCTTTGTGGTTAAACAATTACTTATGTAGGGGTATATCCGGTTGTTCAAGGTAAAATATAGTTAAGTTTGACTAAAAATAAAATTTTTTATTTTAGTAAAACTGGACAATAATTATGGGACGGAGGGAGTATAAGGTTTCGGCAATCTAAATATCTATATAAAATTTGAAAATATATAAAGATTGCACTAAATATGTATGAAATATGTATAAATATACATTCGCATTTGTGTCTAAAAAACAACAAGTACATATTGAAATATGCGAACTACTATGTGGGTAAAATTACATTGAATTTAAGGACAAACAAATTCTTGTATTCTCTTTTTTATAGTTTAGTTTATTATAAAACTAAAATAATACAGATTAAAAAGTGAATTATTATAAGGAAACGGACAGAAGAATAATTACATGTTATAGCCTCAAAACGTATATAACAAGATGATTAATTGATGACTCTGATAAATTTTGAGCGATTACAATGATACATAAAATTATAGTAATCAGCCTAACTTGATTTGTTTGATCATGGTAATCAGCATCAACTAGATAAAATAACTCTACGTTAGTTTTTTTAATAATTTTTTTTTGTTTGCTTTATTTTAGAGCACATAATCATGGAAAATATTTTTTGTGAAAGAATTTAAACTATGGAGCTTTATTAAAGAATGGAAGGGAGAAGAAAGAACATAATACATGACTCTGATTCAAGAACAAAAGCATCCCCACAACTTTTCTTTTGTATGTAGAATCAAACATTTCTAGTTGGGGAATATCTCACTTTTCTTCCACTATAACTCATCTTCTTCGTTCTTAGATTCTCACTTTGCAATTTTGAATACACATCAAATTTTTATTTTTTTTTCCTTATTGCTCTCTCCTTTTCAATTTAATAATCACATTATCGTAGTGTTTTAATTTTAATATATATTAAAATGGGACAAAGGATGTCACTACAATTTTGTGCCATAAGCAGACGAGAAGCCAATATTAAGGTTCCAAAACAATCAATGTATAAGATGGATAATTTTTTGAACAACTTTGGAGAACCCTAGAAGTCATGGAGCTATTCTATCATACAAGAGTTTCATGTCTTCTTGGCCTGTCTATACTCTCATTGGAATGTGATATGCTCCTTCCGTCTCCTAATTATTGTTCAGTTTGAGTTTTCATTTCTGGTATAAATTGTACTAAAAATAAGATTTCAAATTGAACAATAATTTTAGGACAGAAGGAATACTTAATACTTTTTTTTTTTGTATAATACTTTCAAAATGATCCAGCATCTGATGCCTAAAAAGAAAAGGACCAGGGCTAGTTGAAAAGAACAAAGGAAGCTATCGTAGTGGGAAATTTGCAACACATTAAAAAGGCAAGAAAATAGAAAAAATGTTTAAGCTGTTAATGGAGTTTTATAGAAAAATGACTACTAGTTTAGGAATGACAACATATCCATGAGATCAAAAGTTTAGCTACATGTATATTACATTTAAGGAAGTATATGTATATTTGCGCAGAATTTTTGTGGATAAAATTCACGGTTAAACGCTTTCAAATGATTGAGCATGATTCGTGGAGTACCCACGTAGTTTAGTGAAGGGCTATCAGTTAACTGGATGAGTTTGAAAATCTGCCCGAATCGAGTTCGATTCGGGTTGAACGGTTCGGTTAATCGGGTCAAATCGGCGATTACGGGTGCACCCGAAGAACTGCAGAGAAATTCGGTGTGCGTGTAGGTGGTAAAAAAAATTTTGGGGACTGCCCGAAACCCGATTAAATTATTATTTAATTTTATTTTTTTAAAAAAATATAAATAGCCACTAATTTAGGGCTGGTTCTGGGGTTTATTTTTTTCCTATTCTTCATTTTTCTTTACGCCTGTGCCTCTGTCCTCAAACCAATCTTCATCATCTACTTCATTTCTCCGGGTCTTTTGGTTTAGGGTGGTACTTTTTTAAATGGTCAGCAGAATGGTGTTAGATTTTTAAAATGTAGGCAACTGAGGTGGTTTTCGCATTTAAAGAATCCGAAATACTAACAATCATTAATAATTCGGATTTCCTATTTCCGAAATATGTTTAAAATAGATATAAATTTCTAGATTTTTGGAAAATGAGAAAATTAATTATGTTTCGGATGTACTAAATCCGAAACAATGTTTTCGAATTCGTTATATCCGAAATAACCCTATCCAATTCTACCCGTTATTCTTTCGACACGTGTAATTTTATCTGCAGTGTTTCGGATTTGTGAAATCCGAAACATACTTGTCCAGAACAAATTCTGAAATCGATCGTTCTCATTTAGTTCCAAACCAAAACATACAAAATTTGGCAGCATCTCTCTCTGTGATCGCAATCCCAGTCCCAAATGTGTTTTCAAGTGTTGCACCATCATTTTTGTAAGTTTTTTCACTACTTTTAAGTTGTTCTTTTATTTATAATTGTTATATTGCATTATTTTTTAGTTAATTTGAAATTTTCAATATAGGATTTTGGCAGAAATGACTTCTTTACAACCATTCCCATTGAATTTATTTTGGACGTGGCAATTCGACAATGTTTCTGCTAGTAATATCCCGTTCGGGATAATTTGGGTAGATAAAATGTTGTCATTCTCAGATTTTGTTGGAGAAATATGTGCAATTACAAAATTAGATAAAAATCGGGTGAATTTGAATATTTTAATGGTGTGTGATGAGCAGAACATTAGAAGGGGGCCATTCGTTGTTCAGGATGACAACTCGATACGAATGGTTTATCATTATTCAGTGTATTATCCAAAATTATTCATCGAAGTGATAGATGTTCATGTATTACATCGTGGTAGTACATCTGAGCACCATATGGAACCTAGACCAAGTGGTTGGGAACACAATGAATTGGAAAATGAAGATTTTGAAGGCCGTGCTGATAATGTTGAGAGTGATAAAGAACCTGACCCTGCGAATGTAAGTGATTCAAATGCAAGTGACTTGGATGAAAGTGATTCCGGTGCAAGTGATACTCCAGTAATTGAGGAAACAGGACAGTTCATTTTTAGTGATACTGGTGAACTTGATCCCCGATTAGTGGGTCGTGATCCTACTGCTCCAGTCTTGTGGGATGGGAATTTGGATAAAATTGGTGTTGGGACATGTTTCCGTAGCAAGGAAGAGCTGAAATCTGCCATTACCGAGTGGTCATTGAGAAAAGGGGTGAACTATTGTAAAAAAGAGTCAAGGGAACGCGTATGGGCTGTTAAGTGTGTAACCTTAGATTCCAAATATCCAGCTGAGCGGAGACACGACACTACATGCCAATGGAGTATGCGAGCAGTGCGAAAAGTTTGTAAGCCGTACTGGGAAATAACAAAATGGGTGGAAGATCACAATTGTGGGGGCACATCAATAGGCAGCAATAGTCGAAATGTGAGTTCGACAATGATTGCAAAAATGATCCAGCCAAAGATTCAGACAAATCCTGCATACTGCGTGAAGAGTATCCAAGAGGGTGTTTTAGCATACTTTAAATGTAAGGTCAATTACGATAAGGCATGGAATGCAAGAAGGAAAGCAGTTGACCTTGTGTATGGTAATTGGGAAAAAAATTTTCAGTGAACTCCCCAAGTATTTGGAGGCATTACAGAGATCAAATCCAGACACTAGTGTTTAGTGGAAGTTTAAAAAGGTTAGGGCGGATGGGCGTAAGACTTTTAGATATGTGTTTTAGTCGTTTGGGAGTTGCAAGCAGAGTTTTCATAATTCATTTCTGGTTGTATGTGTTGACGGAGCTCATCTTCGTGGCTCATACAAAGGAAAGTTGCTTGTAGCGGTGGTGCAGACTGCAAATACTCGCATTGTTCCTATTGCGTATGCTGTCGTGGATGATGAGACCGCACACAGTTGGAAATGGTTCCTTAAATATCTAAAATTAAAACTTCTTGGGGAGAGGAGTACATGTATTATTTCAGATTGACATGCTGGTATTATTTCGGCTGTAGAGCGCATCATTGCAAAATATCCAGGGTCTATATGCCATAGATATTGTATACTGCATGTTCGAAGCAATCTGATGGAGAAGTATCGTTTTAAGGGAGTACAATATTGGTGTTGGCAAATGGGCACTAAGCTGCAACCAAAGAAGTATAATAGAGCAAGGCGAGCTATCACAGAAGCCAACGAAGGAGCTATTAAGTGGCTTGACAAGCTTGATGTATGTAAGTGGACACTTACGCAAGACGAGGGACAAGCTCGTTGGGGCATGACTTCAACCAACATTTCAGAGAGCTGGAACAATATACTTAGAGGTCCTCGTTTTTTGCCAATCAGGGCAATGGTTGAAGCCACACTTGATAAAGCAGCATATATCGTCCGGACTGAGATCAATAAAATCAATGGTTGCCATACCTTTTTTTGCAACAGAACCCATGAATTTGTACGAGAAGTATCGGGTACGCTCTATGTTACATATTGCATATCTTTATAAATATTTCGATCTTGTCTACAAAGTGACAACATATATGAGTCCGGAAGGAAAGGGTGGAAACAAGCATATAGTGCGTTTGAATGAGATGTCTTGCACATGTGGCAAGTGGCAGACACACAGGTTTCCATGTTCCCACGTCATGACTGTTTTTGCACTAAATAAGGATGACCCCAAAACACTTGTAAGTCCGTATTACACAGTTCCTGGGTGGAAGGCACAATTCCATGGAGGGTTTAACCCCGTGCCTGATAGAGAAGATTGGCCTGAATTGAACTGGCACCTGCGTCCAGATCGGAAGAGACTTATCAAGTATGGAAAGGGCCGGAAACAAACAAAAAGGTTCCCCAACAACATGGATTATGCGCGAAGACAAGGTCGTCGCAGGTGCAATAGATGTCACGGCAACCATGATACCAATAGATGTCCTTTTTCCCATCTCCCATCAGACAGGACCCCGATAGACAATGCATATGCATATGATGCACATGGATTACATGGCAATGCAACATTGTAATTCTATTTCAGTTTCACTGTTTATGTTTTAGGAAGTGATTGACAAAAACTTGTGATATGATTGTAGTGTATTGTGTTTGATGTTTGTCTTTTGTGATAAGAATGATCCAACATTGTTTTATGATTAATTTTTATGTTTTGTGAGAATTGTTGGATTGAAAGTGTTGGATGAAATTTGTTGGATTGAAAGTGTTGGATGAAAATTGTTGGATTAGTCAGTTGTGTGAAAATTTGAAAGTTTCAGGGACTGAATTAAAGAAATGCCAGAAGTTCTGGGTAAATTGTAAAGCATATTGCGGATAACTAAAATCCGAAATAAACCCTAAGAGTATGTTTCGGATTCTTCATATCCGAAATACCTAATTTGAATAATTTTTGATAACTTTAATAAATGGAAAAAATAATTTGAATACCTTAAGGAACATTCATAACTTAATGCTTCATAATTTAATGCAATACAATACTACAGTAATAAATTGAATTTGAATATCTAAGGGTACATTTTTGAAACTTATTCAGATGATTTCAATCACAAATTTTGTAACATTACAATTGAAATGTGCATTGTATAGTATATCATAACTTAATTGGTATAGTATAATACAATTCAACATAACTACACCATATAACAACACGCGATATACTGATCCGGGACCTAAGAAACCCGAGTTATTATTTTTGCAAAAGGATCATAGGTCGAAGGCAATATTTCAAGGACTCGAAGGGTATGATAAGGAACTCAAATGTAGGCGGTGTGACCAGGCTTTTTGGGAGCACATTAAGGATGCTACAATAGATTAGTTGGAAGCTATCAAGAAGTTTGGTTTTGGTACAGTAGTGAAACTTGGATTGACCACTCTTGATCATCATCTTATTACTGCCCTGGTTGAGCGATGGCGGCCAGAAACTCATACATTTCACTTTCATATGGGGGAAGCTACTATCACCCTTCAAGATGTGGAAATTTTGTTGGGACTTCCTGTCAATGGGTTTGCAGTCACTGGCCAAGATATTTCTTGAAGTCCAGAGGCGTGGCAGCTATATTGTGAGCCTTTATTGGGGTTTCGGCCCTCCCTTCAAGATATGGATAAAAGCCGGTTGTTCTTGAGGGCTTTCAAACATATTTTTGAGGAAAGTGAAGTAGAAGGCCAGCCACTTATGACCCCTGAACAAAAAGCAAGATGTTACATCATATATTTGTTAGGGTCTTTGTTATTTGCAGACAATGCTGGCAATAGTGTGTACATGTGTATGCTACAATTTCTGGAGGACGAGACTATTTGCGCACAGTTTAGTTGGGGCAGTGCTGTCTTAGCACTCTTATACCGCAACCTATGCACTGCATGTAAAATAAGCAAGTGGGAAGCTTCTGGTTGTTTGATTCTGTTACAGTTGTGGGCATGGGAGAGAATTAGCACTGTTCGACCGGAGAGGGTACCTGTTAACAACTTTCCCCCTAAGGAGTGTCCTTATGGAACAAGGTAATTTCTTTCATTGATATGTATTTTTTGTATGAGTATTTCTATGTGATATGAACTGGTTTTTATTTCTTTCATTCCTTTTGGCCTTTTTTTTGGCATGTTTATGGACTCTTTGGAATAACTAGATTAATATTAATGACTTTAGGTGGTGTGTTCATCGCCGGGTGACAAAGATTACTGCCCACAATGTACGGGCATATCGGGATCAACTTGCGGAATTGGAGGATAGCATGGTAGCTTTTGATTTCACTATAATGCATTACTTTTAATTCTAGTTTTTATTTTAATTTTTATTACTATTTTCCATTTCAGTTTAACTGGATGCCTTACTCTGATGAAGTCATCAATTATCTTCCTGAGTCCTGTCGTGCTGGCAAGGCTATCTGGACCTCCATGACCCCTATAGTATTCTTTCATATTGTGGAGTTTCACATGCCTCATAGGGTCATGCGACAATTTGGTTTGGATGAAAAAGTGCCTAACACGTACTTATTTCAGACGGAAAATTCTCATAACACACTACACAAGTTGAATAGAAAAGGAAGGCCTGGAACTGATTGGTACACCTACCACCTCGAGTACATCACAGGGTGGGACAATAGGTTGAATAATTTGGTAGACAGTGACAACGGTGAGCCTACCGATTTGGATTACTTTGAGTGGTATCGGTCGCACACTGTTTCAGTTATCTCACATCCTCTTTGTTCGAATCCTCCTCTATCGGGTTTCTACGGCCGTAATCGGATATGGGTAAGTCTTTTTAATTTTTTATTATTATTTTTATTTTTTTGTTGCTGTTATTCTTTTATCCCTTTAAACTGGAGGCAGGATCCTGTTTGAATGCTACGATAGTATCATAGAGTTAGGATTTGACTATTGGATTAATACTATGCTTGTTGACCATTGGATTAATGTGGTTTTGTTGATGATTGTGTTCTCATTAATTAGTGGTATCGTGTGGTTTTGCTGGATTTTATTGTATGATTGTGTTTATTGATTGGCCATTTCAATTTAGTAAATATAGAATTTTAATTGATCATTGGGAGTTTAGTATGAGAATGAAATGGAGGGTGGATGTAAATTAAGGCTGATTTTATATGGATAGTTATGTTGAGAACTATTTTTTCCAGGGCAATGTTTTGGGTGACATTAACATTCAAGCTTCAAAGTTGGCTGCTCAATTCGAAGGGACAGAGCATTATACCAATTACATTGATATTGCTAATATGGCCCTTAATGCCCTACATCTGGATGGGACGGAACCGGCCCCCTCCTACCCTAGTCATACTCTAATTGAACAAGATTTGAGTCAAATTCAGCCGGGTCATCATCCGCATCGTGCGGAATTCAAGCATCGTGGTGGGCCCATGGAGGGGGGTGGGAGGCAGCCCCGACGACCCCCAAAACCAAAAAAACAAGCTCAACCCCATGAAATTCCTACTCCATTTACACCGCGAGAGGCGATATTTAATTTTGAGTCTCGACAATTTTCACATGACTTTGGGCAGCATTCTCAAGAATTCAATCAACAACTATCGCACGACTATAATTTTGGCCCAACGGTTGAGCAGGACAATGATATTGATATGGGTGATGAAGGAAGTTCGGCCGCCTCACACACAAGCTTAAGCATTGGCGGTCATGATGGTGGTCTTGAAGATGAAGTATCTCCAGAATTAGGTCGGGGAAAAAGAAAGAAAATTTTTACAAAGTGTAGAACAAGAGGCCATTTGAATGTAGATCATTGAGGCTTTGTATATTATGTTTTGTAGTTTAAAAACATATTTACTTCAATTGTAGGTACTTTTGAATTTGTTATTTTGTTGAACGTTATCTTATTCTATGGAATTTTTTGATATATTGGACCCAAGTAAAAAAAAATTTTCTGGAGTCAAAAAATAAAAAAGACTAATTTATGAATTAGAATTTTGAGTTTTCCTTAAAACTTACAAAACCCTCGAACTATACATGTGAAGTTGAAAACTAAGTTTAATTTTAAGTCTTATTTTTTCCTAAAATAAATTAATGGGTTTATTTTTTTTATAAGGTACATCATTATGTGACTTTTACGATAAACAAAAATAAGTAATTTGCTTGAGGAATAAAATTTCTTGCTGAGCTGAAAATTATATTTTTTGTTTACTGATAAAACCAATTTCGGATAAGCAAAATCCGAAATATGTTATTTCGGATTCCTAGTATACGAAACGTGTTGTTTCGGACTTAGGGAACCCGAAATGTTTCTATTTATTCCATTTATTTTCTGTCCTAATTTTTTAATTTGTTTTTTCTTTTTTACAATATATTGTTTCGGATATAGGTTATCCGAAATATTAATAATTTCCTGCTTAACACAATAATCTTTGTTTATGAAATATATTATCAAGTATTTCGGATATCAAGAATCCGAAATATATGTATTTCGGATTTAGTTAATGCGAAAACCACCTACATGCCGACAATTTAAAAATCAACCCCCTTTTTGCCCACGATTTAAAAATCCATCTCCCCAATCCAAATGATCCTCATTTCTCCTCACGCCTCACTCACCCATTCATTATCATCATCATTTTTTTTTGGTTGATGCTGCACGCCTGCATCTTATAACCCATAAATTTCTTCACCGTTTCACTTCTCCCCAATTTTTTTGGCTGCTGTTGCGTAGAGAGAGTGAGGCGGCCGCCCCTTTTCCTTTCAACTCCAACCTTCACAATCCGATGAATCTTTCCCCCAATCCGGCCATCCCCCTAACTAGATCTCCCCCGTTACCACCGCCCATCTCTTATCCACGGCTGCTTCACCTTGCTTCACAGCCTTTACTCTCTCTCTCTCTCTCTCTCTCTCTCTCTCTCTCTCTCTCTCTCTTCTCTTTGTTCTATTTGAAAAGAAGTTAAAGTTTTTGGAGAATTTAAGGGTCTGTTTGTTTTTTTGTGTGTGTATGTTTTTAGGTATTTTTTGTATTAGGAATGTAAAAAAGTATGTTGGGATGGACAGTTATTAATATTAAATTTTGAAAAAACTAACAAAAAAAAGGAAACAAACAAATGTTTAGATCTCGTAGATTTTTGCTGTGGGTTTGATGAAAATTCCTCTCTTTTGGTCTTTAGATATGGAATTCTCATTTCGAGATCTTCAATTGTGGCTTCTTGTAATCTTGTTGAATGGGAATGAGATTGATTTAAGGTGGTGCTCGGCGATGAGTCCGCCTGCAGTGGTTGGATTTTTTTGCTGTTTTGTTTTGGGGAAAAAAGCCCAAACTTTTTATGCCGGTGAACCGAAACTGAATCGATGAATCCGAAAAAATTTTTAGTTGGTTCGGTTCGGTTCGATGCTATATATGTTGTGGTTCGGTTTCGGGCAGGTGCGTTCAGATGTCACGGGCTAACTATTTTATAAGTTAAAACCGTGCGGCACTAGCACTCTAGACCCCTAATGAAGAATGCTAGCTCAGCCTTACCCTTAAAACCCTCCAAATTCTTGAAAAGAATTAAGTTGGAAAGTTGAAGGTTTAAAGAAAAGGAGGAGGAAAGAATGAGGACTCAAAGAGAGGTTGAGAGAACTTGTGAACTAGAATTCAATACCTTGAATTCTTCATGGTTTATAATATGGGGCTTGGAGGTATTTATAGTTGGCAACCCCAAGCCCTTAAAGTTCTAGAAAATTCTACATAAAGTATTAAAAATTCTAAATCTAGAGAATTCCTACAACTTCCTCCACTATTTTATAATGTTCTAGAAATCTCCACAACATTCTAGACAATAGTACATGATTCTACTCCTATTCTCTAATATTCTACAAACCTCTAGACAATTTTAGGATATTCTAGAGGTTTCCGGATATTGGGCTTGATCCACTACTTCTAAATGGGCCCAAGTCCACTAAAGTTATTGGCCAAATTTACTTAATATTTGGATCGTGTCACTCTCCCCCGCTTGAATGGGGCATTGTCCCTGATGCCCTGTGTCCCAACTTATTATCTTCACGAAAGTTTTGAGCTATAGCGGCGAGTTTACTACGAGATGGGCAGTCACGAACCAAGTGAGACCTTCCACATAGAAATCAACCTTCAAATTTTTTGGTTTTCTCTACTTTTGACTTCTCTTTGGAGGCGATTTTTGCTCATTCAAATGATTTCGGATAAGATGTCGTGTTATTTTTTCCACCTGTATCATTGAAACATTTTTTACCCGTGGCTTTATTGTAATTCTTATTTTCAAACTCCACAAAAGATTCTGCAGCTCGTATAACTTGTTGAATATCTCGAACATCCCTCCGTTGTAGCTCTAGTTTAGCCCAACAATTAAGCCCGTCCATAAACGTAAAGAAAGCTTCTTTAGGTGAGAGATCCGGAATTTCAAGCATAAGGTCAGAGAATTTTTGTACATATTCCCTTATGTGGCCCTCCTTATGGTGTAAGCGACGAAGTTTGGCCCGAGCTTCAACTTCAGCATCAGCTAGGAGAAATTGTTTCTTAAATTCCTTCTTAAATCCTTCCCAAGTTGAGAAAACTGGTGCTTCTTGGCCTAATGGTTTCATCATACATTTCCACCAAGATAGAGCACTATCTTTTAAATAACAAGAGGCTTGATAGAGTCTTACTGAATCGTCCGTCAAGCCCACAGTGCCATAGTACCTTTCAAGTCCGTAGAGAAAATTCTCTACATCCCTTGCCTTGCGGCTACTAGCATATATATCTGGATTTGGTACATCGACCATTGGAGCTGGCCCTCCAACTCCGATCATCCCTTGAGCACATAGAGCATCTACTCGTACCTTGGGTTGCTCCGTTTGCACCCGATAAGTCTCAAACTCACCCCTGAGTTTTAGCACATCACCTTGGAGCGTGGTGACCTTGGCTGCATTTTCCTCACAAGCCTTAGTGACCCTCTCAAACACCTTGTTGAGTGCCCCAAGCATCTCTTCACGCATTTGTTGCATGATCTCTTGCAGCTCACCCTTAAATTGCTCCATGCATTCCTTAGAGATAATTTCCACTGTAGAAGCATGCTCTTCCCAACGATCACAATGGTCGGCCACGACCAACTCTACCTTTGCAAGCCGTTTCTCAAAGTCGACCATCGGCTCACGAGCAACGAACTTCTCATTATGGGTTCCCCTTCGAGAATAAGTCCTCTCTGGCTCACGAGAAACGTGATCACCACCCTCAACCTCCACACCTTGAACAACCTCCAATGGACTAGACATGATGCACAAAATTTAATAACGAGCGGAAGCGCATGTATCAAGCCGAAGCTCTGATACCAACTGTCATGAGCTAACTATTTTATAAGTTAACACCGTGCGGCACTAGCACTCTAGACCCCTAATGAAGAATGCTAGCTCAGCCTCACCCTTAAAACTCTCCAAATTCTTGAAAAAAATTAAGTTGAAAAGTTGAAGGTTTAAAGAAAAGGAGGAGGAAAGAATGATGAATCAAAGAGAGGTTGAGAGAACTTGTGAACTAGAATTCAACACTTTGAATTCTTCATGGTTTACAATACGGGGTTTGGAGGTATTTATAGTTGGCAACCTCAAGCCCTTAAAGTTCTAGAAAATTCTACATAAAGTATTAAAAATCCTAAATCTAGAGAATTCCTATAACTTCCTCCAATATTTTATAATGTTCTAGAAATCTCCACAATATTCTAGACAATACTACATGATTTTACTCCTATTTTTTAATATTCTACAAACCTCTAGATAATTTTAGGACATTCTAGAAGCTTCCGGATATTAGGCTTGATCCTATACTTCTAAATGGGCTCAAGTCCACCAAAGTTATTGGGCCAAATTTACTTAATATTTGAACCGTGTCAGAGAGAAAAAATCGATGAACCCGAACCGACCGAACTTGCTCGATTTGACAGTCCTAAAATTCGACATTAACCAAAAGAAAAGAACAATAGAGATAGAGTAGATGATTTCAACTTTTTGTCAATTTAGAGCAATAGGAATTATGTAAAATTTTAACTCCTATACTTACTTCCAAACTATAGGAAGCTTAACTACGAAAGCATATAAAGATTGAAAGTTTGTAAATTGCAAATAAAAGCCGGCCATTTTGATTTGTGTTTGTTTAGACTGAGTGTTCCTTTTGTGCCCTATTTTTTGCTTGCATAGCACTTTTCAGGTAAAAATTAGCATTCCTATCCAAAATTACTAATGTTGGTCAATTTTTTATGGATTGTTCAAACCAATGTTGTCAGGCTCGGCTCGGACGTTGACTCGGGAAGACTGGGGTCAGGGGTTTTTGGGGTCGACTCGGGGAGTCGACTCAGTGACGTCATAATGATGTAATAATTAATTATTAATTATTAAAAATATATATTTAAATAAATATGAAGTGCATATACTTATATATATATAATTATACATTTTCTGTCCATTGAGTACAATCATTTTTTTTAACATAAATGTTAAACTTTCTTAACTATGAAAAAACAACAACAAAAAATAAACATAACTCAAAATTTAAAACTAAGTTCCATTGACTAGTAAATAAGATCATGATTTTACATTTAATCCATTGGAACACTACATCACTATTTCCAAGTTCTAAGATAAAATACCACATCCGTCCAGCCATATACAATTGAGTTATAAGTTCTAAGCATTTACATCAAAACTCAAAAGAATTGTATCCTACTGAGTTATATCAAAAGAAACTCTATATAATTGAGTACCATTATAATGCTCTAACTAAGCATTTACAATAAAAGGACTCAATTTCATGAGTTACAACAAAAACAAACTCAATTGTATTGAGTACCAAAATTCTTGCTCTAGTCATATATACTTCAAAAGTTCAATTTCATTGAATACTAAGTCATTAGTATGAGTATTCAACTTCATTCATTACCAAGGTCGTACTCATTACCAATAAACACTCTTGGTTCCACAAAATCACTACCATCATGAGAATCTTCATTACCAACAACTTCAAAAAAAATAGAAGAACCAATGTCCACATCACCATCATCTTCTTCATCAAGAATCACAAATTTCCTTGTTTTACCTTAAAATAAGTGACGCATTATGCCAATATTCAAGAAGTTACATATATGCAAATATTCATGGTTGCATTATGCTTATATAAAAAAGATACTAGAAAAATGTTCTTAGGAAAAAACTACTTGTGGTCTCTTCACCATCCTTAGGAAGCTCTTCTTCTATCATATCATCCAACTCATTTTCAAGTCCATCGGTAACTTCTTCGATGACCCAAGACTCCGTTTTGTCAATACATTCATAATCAATTGGATCACATTGCCTCTTTGAAAACCTTGTTACAAACAATAAAAATCAAAATAAGTAAATAAAATCACATTGAATGTAATAAAAAATACACTTCAATACCTATTTTTCAAGTGAAGATTGTAACAAACGTAAGCAAGGCTATTAAGTCTCTCATGCTCCAATCTATTCCTTTTCTTGGTATGAATTCTTTCAAAGACACTCCAATTGCGCTCACAACCCGAAGAAGAAGCCGTTTGACCCAAGAGCCTAGTAGCCAACTTTTGTAAATTGGGAGCATCATTCCCAAAATATCTCCACCATTGATCTATGTCAACCAAATAATATATTAAAACTTAAGACAATTAATAAAAAACACTGAATTGAAAATGGTAAATGTTTAAAAGAAGAATACCTGGGGAAGTGGTAGCATAAGTCTTTTTAGCTAAAGTACACCCAAATCTTTGATTTTGTGATCTAAACATCATAACTTCATTCATTACATCTTGAGAACATTCAATCTTGAATTTCTCCATCACATTCATCAAACCTTTCCAAGCTTCGGACATTAAACCACGATTATCAACTTCACATTGGAATGTAGGATTCAACCAAAAAGCAGCTGCATGAAGATCTTTTTCCAACATAGAATCCCACCTATTGTCGATAATCTGAGTGTAGGGCTCATACAATTTCTTGTTGTTGTTGAAAAGATTTTTTATAGCATTGATAGCTCTCCACAATCCATCATACATATATCCTAAGGATGGTCTCTCATCAGAATCACAAATGCGCAACAAACGCATCAAAGGCCCCATAATCTTCACCGTTACTAAACAATTATTCCAAAAATTTTCATTGAGAACAGTTTCCTTCACATCTTTACCTTTCTGATGTTTCAACTCTTTGACCTTATATTCTTGAGACAAAAGCAAGGATTCCAAATGTACTCTGTGGTCATATAAACTTTTCAATTCAATGAATGTAGTACCAAATCTAGTCTCAGCTGGACGAACGATTTCTTTCCATCCAGGAATGTTTCTCAACCAACTCAGAATCCATTTACGATTGTAAACAAATACAGTGACTCTAGAGGCAAGAGTAATCAAGCTGACAATTTTAGGCATACCTCCAATATCTTTCATAATCAAATTAACACAATGGGCAGCACAGGGAGACCAACTAATTAGTGGATATCTTTCTGAAAGTAACCTTCCAGCAGCTTTGTAGTTAGCTACATTGTCTATGACTAAATGAATCACATTTTCCTTACCAACCATGTCAACAATTTCAGCAAATAAATTACACAAATTTTCTGCACTTGACACGATATGTGATGCATCAACAGACTTGATAAATACCACACCATTAGGGCAATAAACCAAAAAATTAATCAAGCTTCTTTCCCTTTGATCTTTCCATCCATCACCCATGATAGTACAACCAGTGTCAACCCACATGCTACGAAAATTATCAACAAACAATTCAACTTGTTTTTTTTCTTCATTAAGCAAATGGACCCTAAGTGCATGATATGATGGGGCTTTATATCCATGACCCATGGATGCCACTTTTGATATTGCTTGTTGAAAATATACAGAATTGGCAGCATTAAATGGGTTACAAGCCTCATAGAACCATAGAGCCAAAGACATGTCTGTTTCATGATATCTTTCCTTAGTTTGCAAACATGACTTGAGACTAGGTTGAGTGAAATTAGGGACTTTACCTGACATATAACCTTCAATCCCATGTTTAGCTTTTCTTTTCCCTTTGATTGATATCTCATTAAAGACTTTTGGAATTTCTTGAACATCATCACTTTCAATTTCAAAATCTGCTCTCTTTTCTTTGGATTTTCGAACATTATCTTATAATAACCCAGCTGCCAAAGAACAAACATCTGGAGGAACTTTTTTGCAAGGTGCTACATTGCCCTTCACCTTGCCAAGATGATGTTTGAGGCGATTAACACCCCCACCAGCCAAAGATTTCTCACAAAAGTTACAAATTATCAACTTCTTCCCTTTGTCAGTTACTCTTAAACTCCCATATTGCCATATTGGATCTCTCTTAAGCTTATGATTTTGCTCTGAGGAAAGCAAATCACCTTCTTCCATTGCTTTAAAATATCTAAAAAAAAGCGAACAGAGTGAAACAATAATTAGTCTCTTTGTAAACCTCTTAAATATAATAAAAGTATACTAAACTATAAACTAAATTTATAATCAGACATTTCTTTTTTGTGCTCTATCAAAATTATGGCTGAAAATGTGAAGCTATAACTGAAATTAAGTCTAAGACATGATTCAAACATGAATATTATCAAGGTAACGGTTATATGAACACTAACCTGAATGATCGAATTCAAAACCATCCAAAAGAAGTCGTTATCTTGCTTGCCCATGTACAACAAATTTGTGTCTATACCTAATTAAATCAAAACAAAATAAATCTTAATGAATCCCACTTCCAAAACATTAAGACTGGAAGCCATCATTATAGCCAATGTAAACCTTAAAAGTTGCTATTAAAAACAATTACTCCAGGGAAATCACAAGCCCATGACCCTGAAAGAACAAAACAAAACAAAGAAAAAATATTGAATTTTTCAATTTTACCCCATAAAAACAAACCCAGACGCATCATAGAGATTTGAACTTTATTTTGTGTGGAAGTATAGATCGAGAATCTCACAAGTAAGACAAAAAATCCTGATTCTTGCAAAGTAATCGGCTTTAAGGCTTACTCACAATGATAAGCAGAGCCAAGTAATAGAGTAAGCAAAATACACCATCATTAGTAGCTAATCGGTAGCTAATCGGCCGGCAGGCAGTGCTATGACGGCAAATCGGCGAGTGACCGGGCAAAAAAGGATGATTTTTGTGTCGATTGATTCACAGGCGGGGGGAGACGTGGAGCGCCGATGATGGAAGAAAAATTAGAAAAGGTAAAATGCTTGTTGAACTGTGAAAAGATCAAAAGAATCGACCAAAACCATATTAAAAATTAGAAAACTAAAAAAAAAAGGAACGTCAAAATTGGTGCGTGCCAGCCAAAAAATGGAAAACTCGGGGTCGACCCGGTTCTGACCGGTTCTCGGTTCAATCGGAGTCTTGACCGAGTTTGACCGAATTTTAAATTTGAGAGTTTATACTCAGCTCGGATCGGTCTTAGGTCTGAATCCCGGTTTAACCGGTTCGACCGGCCGGTCCGTTCCGAGTCTGACAACATTGGTTCAAACTATTATCTAATTTTATCCAATTGACAAAAAATCCGTCAAATTTTGATGGATTTCCGTTAAGTTTCTAATAAAATAATAAATTTAACCATAAAAAATTTGCTAATAGTTTCGAAAGTTACAAAAATAACATCCAAAGTATATAAAAATACCAAAACAATCTCTTTTCATTTTTATTTTTATTGATTTTTGTATTTCATTCACATTGTCTTTTTCTGTTTTTTTTTTTCAAAAAACATAAAACTATGCTATATAACATTCAATGCGATGTTTATTTATTTTAGACTCGTGATGAGCGTAGAACTTACCTATTTTTAATATTGTTTTATAGGGTATTTTGCTTATATTTTGAGTATAAATTATAATATTTATGTGGTTTAACATTGGTTTGTAAGAATTGTACTCAAATGGAAGAATTGTTAGATTTTTGGACTAAATGCTAGATAAAGAACAACAAAAAGGACACAAAAGGATTAGAATAATCAAGGAAGAAGAAATCAAAAGACTCAAAGAGTTAAAGGATCAAATATGTAAATTGGAGTTTTTGGTTTCAAGTTTAGCAATGGGAGATTTTGAAGGTTTTATTAATTTAATGGTAGGCCAAATTAATTAATTAAATTAGCTATCCCTTTTCTTTGTGAACAAGCCATGAAAATTATAATACGGGAGTCTTCACTGTGGAAAACTAGTTTCGCTCTCTAAAATAGAGAGCTTCTCTCTCTTCGAAAAAGAGAGCAAAATTCCCAAGACCGAAAGTTTCCAAAATCAGCTTCAAATTCCATCAGATTTTCGATTACACGTCAAACCATTTACTGCTGAGGTTTTCTAATGTTATCCAATTATCCAATTATATGCAGAAATTTTACCAACCTCATTAAGCTCTGCTCCCAATTTTAATCATTATGTTCACCGAGCTCCCCCAGAAGCGGATGATAGAAGGCTGCACTTAGGCACCGACGGAGACAACGCGCTTCATGAGAAGAATAATTATTAGACGAATTGAGTTGTTCATCAAGATTTCAAACAATTCCACTATTATGGCTACTGTTGTGTTGGTATTATGGTTTATAGGTAATCCTTTTAATTTTGGCTCAAGGCAGGATTAGGGTCCCTTTTTACCACATCAGAAATCTGCGGTAATTAGCTCTCAAGACTGCTAGGATCTTTTGTGTTTAATTAGCGTTTAATTTGGCCTTATATCTGTGTCATCAATTGTTGTTTCCTAGCTTCCGACATACTAATTTTATGTGAATTGGATTTCGCCTTACTTGGAAATCGGCTTATGATAATTCATCTGTGTTAATGGAGAATTTCTGTTTGATTGGTCACGTAATGGATGATCGGAATTTCGGTCGGGCGAAAATGCAAACTTTTGTATGGGACAATGGGGATACATCTGTTTCTGTTACTTATAAAGAGAATTTCTATATCTTTCATTTCACCATAGCAGAGCACCTCTTGAATGTTCTTCGTAATGGTCCGTATATTATTGATGGGGCATTGGTGGTTCTTCGTAGATGGGTTTCAAGTCTTTCTTTTAAACATCTAGGGGTTGAGGAAATCTTAATTTGGGTCCGATTCTATGATTTTCCAATTACCCAGCTCAGAAAGACATCAGCTTTTGATTTAGCTGCAATGATAGGAGAGTCGGTGGAAGTTGAAGATTTTGAGTTAAAGCCAAGTCAAATGAGTTTCTTAAGAATGTCAGTATGGATGAAACCATTTAAACCGCTAATTCCTGGTTTTTATCATGAACTCTTGGATGGAGACTTGGTTTGGATAGAATGTTCATATGAAAGTGTTTTCGAAATCTGCCGAAGATGCTGTAAAATTGGACACCCAATCTCTAGATGCACAACACGTGAACCACTGAAGAAAAGGTTGAGATTCTCTTCGAAATACAGAATGCACAACAATTCTGACACCAAAGGACTTACAGAGGAAAAAGTTTTGGATGGATTTAGGTTTAATAAGGAGGTGGAGATCATTTTGTCTGAAATGTGCGAAAAGGAATCTCAACCTTATACCAGTCAGGGGCAGGAAACTCTGCCTAAACAGCATGTTGAATCTCTGAAGCAGAGAACAACCCAGGTACCAGAAAATTCTTCTCACTTTCATAGGACGGATCTCTTCAGGTCTCAGAGGCTTGTTGATGTCATGAGTTTTGATGACAAACACCTGGTTGGTAAAATCAGAAAGAGGAAGATAGGAGCAAAGCAAAATGTCTCACACTCATATGCAGCCAAGGTTTTTATGGCTTTTATGGAGGGGTATCAGGGTGGTGAAACCTTACAGCCAAGAAAAAAGAGAAGGGATATAAATAAGCACCAAGGGACAGAGTTCAAAGGGAGAAAGAGAAGTCGGATAGAGCTACATGGACATGAGGGAAGTGTAAAGAAGCAGAGGAAACAGAAAGAGGAAAACATCAGAAAGGCCAAGAGGACAATGGTTCTCGAGGATCTTCACCAAAAGAAGAAAAGTAAACCCAATCCTAAGAAACATGAATCAACTCCTAGACACAAGCGTGCCTTGGAGTTGGGGACACAGGTTGAATCACTACACAGTCGGGATAAAGAAGAAAGGGTGGTCAAGAGAAGAAGACTGGAAACAAGTATGAAGGCTGAAATGCAAGAAAACCTACTGGCTCTAATCAAGCAGCTAGTAGAAAACCAAAACAACATAGTAGAAGTATTGTACGCCACACGAAGAATTGATGGTGAAGAAGGGCATTCGACCACAAGAACAACCATGGATGAAGCTGCTGCTAACAAGGAAGGCTTTTGGGTGATTGAGCCAAATCAATCACCCAAGCGGCCATGCGAGTACTTTCTTGGAATTGCAGGGGCATACAACGTGCACCTGTAACTCAAACTTCGAAAAAGGTCATTACTGTAAATAGTCCTAGTATTTTGTTTCTACAAGACTACTAGTCTCTAATACTTTAGTAGCTAGATGGGTTGAAGGTACTTATTTTGCTAAGTGGTTGGTGGAATCTACTTAAAATCTATCTGGGCATGAGAGTACTTTCTTGGAATTGCAGGGGCATACAACGTGCACCTGCAACTCAAACATTGAAAAAGCTCATTACTGTAAATAGTCCTAGTATTTTGTTTCTGCAGGAAGTACTAGTCTCTGATACTGTAGTAGTTAAATGGGTGGAAGGTACTTATTTTGCTAAGTGGTTGGTGGAATCTACTTAAAATCTATCAGGGCGTGTAGGCCTCTTTTGGACCAGTGACCACTTTTGGTGATCTTAATCAAGTAACCTCTCAAGATGACAAAAAAGGAGGAAATAGAGTCTCTGAAAATCAGGTGAACAATTTCATCTAGCTGCTTCACGACCTGAACTTAACTGAAGTTCCTTATTCAGGTAACCATTTCACGTGGACTAATAATAGGAAGGGGGTTGCTAAAATAGTTGAGTGGTTGGACCGAGCTTTTGCTAGTGCTGATTGGTTTGAACATTTCAGTCAAGCTGGAGTTATAAACATGCCAATTACAGTTTTAGATCGTGGTCCAATCATGGTAAATCTCAAACTACAGAATCCACACAACACGAAGAAAAGGTAAAGGTTTGAGAAATTTCGGTCACATACAGAAGCGGCATTAGCCATTATAAGCAAGATTTGATCAGAAAGCAATGAAGCTCTCTCAGGCAATGGAGACAGACTCTCACAATTATTAGAAATAAGTCTAAAGCATCTATACAACTGGAGCAATTCTTCGTTTGGTGCTTTGGATAAAACTGTGAGGCAGTACACTAAGAAATTGCCCACATTGTAGCAAGGGGAAGGTTTGATGAGGAATGAGCAACAGATTGACTCCCTCCAAAAGCAAGTTGAAAAACAACTTGATTACCAAGCGGATTACTGGAAACAACGAGCCAGAGTCAAGTGGAGTCTGGAAGGGGATAGAAACACGCATTATTTCCATACTTGGGCATCTAAGAGGAAAAGTAGGAGTTGGATAAATGAAATTGAAAAATCCTGAAGGACAGTGGAGTCAGAATCCAGAAGAAGTTCAAACTATGATGATGGAACACTTTAAAAATGTCTTCGTTTATGAAGATAATTATCCTAATGATGATGAGATTTGGAGCTCAAGGCCAAAGATTGAAGATTTAACTCAACCTCAAATTTCCAATGGCCAACAAGAGGATCTGAACAGGGACTTCAGTGATAATGAAATTTGGATTGCACTACAATACATGGCTCCTTGGAAAGCTCCGGGTCTGGATGGAATTCAGGCGGGCTTTTACAAAAAATATTGGAGAGAAGTTAAGGACACACTATTAGATAGTTTGTAAAGAATTCTGAACCAAGGAGAATGGTTTGATGACTGGAATAAAAATACAGTTATCTTCATCCCAAAAAAGAAAGATTCCTGCACTCCTACTGATTTCAGGCCGATAAGCCTACGCAATGTCAAATACAAAATTATAGCAAATGTTCTGGCTAATCGGATTAAACCATACATAGGAGGACTAATTGCAGAAAACCAATATGGTTTTGCCCCAGGGAGATACATCCGGGAGAATATTTTGTTGGCACATGAAGCAATCGAGACAATCAGATTGAAAACCCAAGGAAACAGAGGATTGGCCGCCATAAAATTGGACATGAGCAAGGCTTATGATAGAATGTCATGGCCTTTTCTGGAAATGGTACTTACGAAGTATGGATTCCCGCAAAGGATTGTCCAGTTAATCATGCAGTGTGTTAGAACTGTGGAGTACTCTATTAGCTTCAATGGTTGGCAGTCTGATTATTTTTCTCCAAAGAGAGGGCTACGACAAGGCTGTCCTATTTCACCACGCCTTTTCGTACTGTGTCAGCAAGCATTCTCTTTGGCACTGTATGGTTTGGAAGCTGAGGACTTGAAATTTGGAATAAGGCTAGCAAAGACAACTCCAACTCTATCTCATTTGATGTATGCAAATGACTGGATAATTTTCTTGGAGTGCACGGAGTCAAACATCAGAGCATTTGCAGAGATTTTGAATCAATACGCAAAGATCTCAGGCCAACATGTGAATTTTGATAAATCAGCCATCTTGACGAGTCCAAACACATCGCCAGCTATGAAAGACCTCATATCATCATGGCTGAGAATAAGAAATTGTGCATTCTCTGGAAAATATTTGGGGTTGTCATTGGATTTTATGCAAAGGAAGTCAATCCTATTTGGGAGTATAGTTCAACGCCTGAAGGACAAACTGAACAATTGGAAACATGGATCTCTCTCGATGGCTGGAAGAATCACGCTAGCTAAGCATTCTCTCTCTCTCTCTCTTCACTCCCAATATATACGATAGGTACTTTTAAACTCCCAACATCTATCACCAAGCAGATAGACAATACTATTGCAAATTTCATTTGGAATGGTGATAAACAAGGGAAAGGTAGACTCTGGAGGTCTTGGGCACATATTTGCAAATCAAAATTCAGAGGTGGTTTGGGTTTGCGATCAGCCAAAGAAATGAATCAGGCCTTGTTGGCGAAGCTGGCTTGGCGAATACATAAATTCCCCAGCTCTTTGTTTGCCATAAGGCAAAGGATGCACGGCGAAGAGAATTTCTGGCTTGTGATTCAAATCGCAACACCACATGGGGTTGGAGAAATATCCTATGGGGTAAGCAACTACTCGAAGGGGGCTTGAAATGGAAGGTTGTTGATGGTAATTCCATCCGTGTGGAAGAAGACTGGATTCCAGGTGTCTCCAACCCACTCAAAAATTTAGTTTCATTTTGTAACCGTTTAGGCATGAAAATTAATGATCTTCTCGATGAAAGTAAGAGATGGAATGAGAACCAAGTGAAGGCTATATTTCCTACAGAAATAGAGAACAAGGTCCTTCAGACATATGTCCCATGTCAAAAGCGGTTACTTTGAAGCAGTGAATTATAGAGATCGAAGGCAGTCTAAACCGGTAACTTTGAGGACCTTCACTATGTGTGATAAGGCGTGGAAAAGATTTTGGGATGTCAAAATCCCTGCAAAGATACAGTGGATGATTTGGCGTGCAACTAATAATGCTCTGCCTACACAAACAGCTTTGGCTAGAAGAGGTATACACATTGATAAAACTTGTGTGAGATGCCAAAAACATGAGGAAAACATCCAACATCTGTTCCTAGATTGCCAGCAATCCCATGGAGGTGCTCTCGTCTTGGTTTTGACTTTGAACAAGGAAAGGAAAATGACATGAGCTTCTCTGACTGGCTAGAAGATTGGATCCTAAAGGCGCCAAGTGTAGAACTCTTTAAGGCTTTCGTTCTTCATCATGTGGCACATTTGGCTGGCAAGGAATAATGTAGTGTGGAACCAAAAATTTCAGCATCCAAATACTACCCAACAGCTTGCCAAAAAAGATTTGAAGATCTTTGAATCTTCAACAGTTGCATGGCAATCTGAAACCAATTCGTCAAGACAAGTGGCTAATGCTGATCACCAAAATGTGCCACATCAAACCCCGCCTAGGATAGATTGTATCATACGAGGAGATAGAGCATATGATGATAATCACAATTGGGGGGTTGCAGCTTGGGAAATCTTGACGAAGAATGGACAATACATCACACATGGAACAGAGGTTTTTCCATTGCTCTTCCCCAGTTATTGCAGAAGGTCAGGCATGCTTGAGAGGAATTGAAGAGGTTTGGCTAGGCTCCATTATGAATTTAGCGAATTAGAAAGTGATATTTGTACTATATTATCTCTAGTAGTTGGTTCTAGTATTGTTAAAGTTAATAGATATTGTAGAAAATGTCCACAGAATGGCAAGGGCAACCATGAGGTTGTTTCCAAGTTTGTACTTGTAAAATGGTTTGAATTTAATGAAGTTTTGCTTCAAAAAAAAAAAAAAAAAACCCATGAAAATTAGTACTCCGTCCGTCTCATAATTATTGTACAGTTTAGTTTTTCATTTCTAATTCAAATTGTATTAAAAATAAAATCTCAAACTATACAATAATTTCGAAATAATAGTTTCATTTCTTTTTCAAGGCCTTACACTTGCATGGGAGACTGGGGTCAAAGCTTGATAGCGGAAGTGGATAGCTCTACCGTTATTTCCATAGTGCAGAGCAAAAAGGAGGTCTTCGGGGTCAATGCGGGGATTGGTATGGTATTCGGGAGGTTTTGAGTAAAGATTGGGTTGTCGAGTTTCGACATGTGTTTCGGGAGGCTAACTTTGTTGCGAACTACGTAGCGTCTCTAGTGGTACAAGGTCCGGGGGGTTTACAATAGTTTTCCGTCCCACCGTTGGATGTTAATTCCTGACTAAAGCATGATATAATTGGGGTTTTATACCTGGTAATATACTTGTGGGATTTTAGGCATTTACGCCTCTTCTTTTGAAAAAGTGAAAAAAACCCCAACCTCCTCCATCACCGCCTAACACCATCAGGCATCAGCCCCTCCCGCTCCAAAATCAACCCCGACGCACTAAAGTTCCACGCACCACCACTACACCACACAAAACCCACGCACCAAACTCCTTAACCAAAGCCCGGAGCCTCATCACCCCATCAACCTTCTAGTTTTATAGATAGGGAAGGAAAAAGATGAATGTAATTAGGGAAATAAATAAATGCCAATTTGTCATCTCCTTTCCTAAATCCTCACCTTTTATCTTGTTTTGACTTTTTTCCCTTGGATCCTCACTTGGCTGTTTTGCGTGGAACATATCGTTCAAACTTCAAAAAAGAAAGTGCTTTTTTTTTTTCTTTTTAAAAAATGCTAAAATTATCAAACACTTCAAAAGAAGACGTTCTATACATTCTCCTCCTTTTTTTTTCCCGCAGCGGTCATATAAAGCTCAAACTCGGTGTTTTCGGGTTCTTTTTCTTCTTTTTTGTGTTGTTATCGCTAAAACAACATTTAACATTCAAAACAAATTGATAGTATTATTATTTCAAAATTGCCCCGATCCAGGCAAACTTAACTCCCCGTCCTCATTTTTCTATTTTTCCCTCTTACACATTGCTTAATATTGGCAACTTTACTGATTAAGTCTTTTTTTTTCCATCCTTTTTTATAGTCTAGATCTCTTCTCGGTTTTGCGTTCTTCATTAATAGTAGCACTAGTTTGACGTGCTTTCTCAGTTTGATGATTTTCTTGCCATCTCGAAATTATAATCACTACAAAATAATTTTTTCTTTTTTTTAAAAAAGCCAATAAGAAGCAGATGTCTTAGATTGAGTTTCTGTGTTCTTCACTCCGATATCGCAGATTTTGGTCGTGGTTTTCCTTCTGTTATAACAAGATTTCATTATTTTTTGGCGGACACTCTAAGTGAAATGATGGCTCAATTTATTCTGTAACTATTCTTCTCCTAATATATAACCAGTAAATTAATGAAACAACTAATTAGATCACTTTCTGGTTTCAATCCATTCTAAACGAATTGCTCTTGGAACCATTATGTCTAAAGCTTAATCGATTAGGGGATGAACTTCTATTAACTTTCGGGTAGCAAGTAAACTATAGATCGAATTCGTTTATACTACTGTCCCAAAAAAATAATTCACATTGAGTTTTTAAATTTATGTTAAAAACAATATAAAACTCAAAATTCAATGTGGACTTTTTTTTAGAATGGAGGGACTAATTAATAGGAGAAGAGCCGGATAGATTGGAAGAGTGGGAGAGACAAATGTTGGTGAAAGGAGAAATCTATGTTTGATTTGGGTAATTAAGGGCGATTATGGAAGAAAAACAACAAATTGTTTTATAGATGCTATATAATCGTTGTTTGGGCTATAATTATATCCTTCCAGAAAATATTTATGTTCATTGTAATCATGAATCGCGGTAATTTTTGCCGGCCATGTTCGACATTAATTTCTTTGTAGGATAAAAGCAGCACAAAAACTAAGTTACTCAATAAAATGAATTTTGCCAAATAATTAACTAGTAGTAAAAATGGCAATTCGTATCAAACATAAAAACAGTACTTCCTTACAAAGATACTACTTAAAAATGTTTTTTTATGACATTAATATTTAGTCAAGTGATACAATTTCTATGGATTTTTTTTTGTAATTTATTAGTAGAAGGAGTGCTAACTTTAATTTGTAGCATTGATATAACTAACTCACTGACCGATTGACTTGGCAGACTTAAAAGATACTACAACTTACAGTTTTAAAATCCGTATTGTGCTCCTATTCTACCTCTCCAAAGTAAAATCAGTTATTCTCTCCTGTCCTCATTATAAGTCATTTTGATTTTGTACTAGATTTGAGTCTGTATTTAATACACCCGGGTATATCGTATACCCCCACCAAACACACGCACTACACACGCTTGACATTTTTCACCTTTACATTAAATGCACAGACAAAATTGTTTCATCCATTTTACTGTTTTCATCCTCACGCACAAACACACACAATTGCTGGTTAACCATAATTTATCTACAAGTTGTAAACTGGTTATCCAGAAGGGGTAAACTGGGTATCCAGAAGGTGTAAACTGGTTATCCACAAGTTGTAAACTGGTTATCCACAAGGCATAAACTGGTTATCCAGAAGGTGTAAACTGGTTATCCACAAGTTGTAAACTGGTTATCCAGAAGATGTAAACTGGTTATCCACAAGTTGTAAACTGGTTATCCAGAGGTAAAGAAGCAAACGACATGCCGACTCCCGCGGCTACTGGAATCGCAGGTCACCAACCTACTCCGGCTGCGCCGCCCTGCCGAACACGCCAATTTAGTTAAGGTAATCCTTTTTTCGTGTCTGTGTAAGGAGAGTGTGTTATTGCGTTAAGAGGGGACACAAATTATTTATATAAATCCCCCCGTGATAAACTAAACGGTCCGGCTGCGCCGCCCCCCTGCCGAACACGACAAATTTCATAAATAGTATTTAATTGAATGAGGGGCATTTTGCCAAATGATGGAGAACAAAAAATGAATGAGGGGCAGTTTGCCAAATGATGGAAATAAGGTACGTTCAATTGTGTATAACTCATTATCCATATTGTCAAAACTGGTTATCCAACTGTGTATAACTAATTATCAATATTGCCAACACAGGTTATCCACATTGTGAACACTGGTTGTCCATAGTGTGTAGCTGGTTATCCATAGTGTGCACACTGGTTATACAGCTATGTTTAACTAGTTATCCATAGTGTGTACACTGGTTATCCACAGTGTCAATACTGGTACAGTAAGTTTTCAAAATTTGAATGAATTCGGTAATTTATATATGCCACGTTTAAAAAAAAAAAAAAAGAAAGCTGAATTATCTAGCGAGCTCACGCTATTCTAAGAGAGTAAAGTACACGCACAAGGGGGTACACGGTGCCCCCGGGTGTACCAGATAATTTGCCAGATTTTAAAAACATTTCATAGTAATTAAGGAAACAAAAAGGATGTGAAAATATATTTTTAAGGTTTTTTTTTCCAATTAAAAAGACATTTAAGGTGAAACTTAAGACGAAATAAAAATATCTTATAATACGGATCGGAAGGAGTATTTGTTTTTATTTGAGTGTGTGCATTTTTATTGACTCTCTCAATTCGTTTTTCTTTTTTTTTTTAAATCTCAGTATAATTCTTATTTTGGGACGAAAGAGTCGGAACTATTAGACATCTTCGTGCCTGATGACTCCGGCCGTTTCCATCATGGATATTGAGTCGGCCGCGGAGTAGAGTTGTTGATCCTCCCACAAATAGAATGCACGAGGGAGAGTTCAGACTATTGGGCTTCGCGGACATTTCCTTAATCCGGAGATTCGCCAACATTGACCTTCTTTAGGTGAGGGAGATTTTTCTGTATACCAAATACCTCTTTTCTCAATTTGCTTAAGTTTCTTTACATAATTTAGTCCCTCATGATTTAGCACATGTTGCAAATTTACCTATAATAATCAATCGTTACTGGACGTTTTGTAATCAATTTTTTTTGGGGTCAAATCTAATCATTTTTTATAAAAAAAAGGTCAAGTAGTCATAGTCTTCTTGGGCTCTTAGCTAGCTGTGGTTATTTGTCTTCATTCCCCGTTTTACTTGGCCTACTAATTATATCTTTCATCTCCCTCAATTGCGTAACTAATCCTCAAAACCTCTTATCTGTCTCTTCTTCTCCTCTTCTCACTAATTTTAAGTGCATAAAATCTCTCCACTTCTGTTCCTATTTTTTGGGTTCCTTTTGTTCAATTTTTTTCTAAATGGTCCCTAAAACCATTCATGGAACCAATAAAATCAGTGAATCAAAAGAGATTTCCCAAGGAGTTTCTGGTAATACCCAAGAATCATCAGTAGCCCATGAGGCGGCTGCTGCAACTTCTGCAGTTGATGCTTCTTCTTCTATGCCACAACAACTAGTTCAGCAAGCTGATGATGGGGCAAGTCTCTCTTTCTTCTATATTAGTGTGTGACTGTGTGTTTTTGGGATTTTTCTTCAAATTTTATTGAAGTTCTGAACAATGGTTGATTTGAAAGTGATATATGCATATTGGGCTATGTGTCTTTTTCTTGTTGATTATTTTAAGTTATTTATTATTCTTTTTTTTGGTTCCGTAACTTAGTTCATTAACGTTATTGTATTATTCTGGTTTGGCATTCACAGTAATACAGCAATATATAATGATCCAATCCAATGAAGATGAATATAATTTTTCACCTCTCTAAAATTTGTGCATATAAATGTTTGTTTTTTCCCCCTCCAAGCTGATATTACTTCTTTGACTAATGTACTTAAATCTAAATGGTGGGTGGCTTAGAAGTGACAATATTCTGTTACTCACCTTATTTTGGGGTAACATTATTCCACACGGGTGTATCCACTGGGATTGAATGGTAAAGGGTTACTCCCTCCGTCAGAGATGACCGTCCACTTTAAAGATTTTATTTTTAGTACAAATGGTATTATTTAAAATTTAATGAGATCATATAATTATTTTGAGATAGAAGAAGTAATTTATTAGTATAGATTATTTAGTCATTAAAAAATAAAAAAGTGACATGGTGTATTCATTCGCTAATAAATAGTCTACATTTTTAAACACTTACTAATTACTAAGATCATCTACTCTACTTATTATGTTATAAATGCTGAATAGTTTTGATATTTTGGTAGTTCTCTATTTTAATTACCACATATCATTTAAATCAATTTTTATTGTTATAACCAATCTATCTTCTTCATTTACTTTACTTTAATTACCAAACAATATTTAGATTTTTTTATTTTATTATGACAACCCCTTTATATCTCGTTCGCTTACCTCTTAATCTTCTAACGATTGAGTTTCTTGTCAAATTTATAAAATATAAAGTACGCACGATCAAACTCTCTAGTATGGTCTAAATAAAAAAGGAAATTTTTTTTCGTAGAGTTCTAATATTAGAAAGACTTCGGCCTCAGTCATCACAAATACATTTGGTTTTCAATTCGTCATATGAAAAGCTTGTAAAAAATGTCGTTCCTATCCAAAGCTTTACACTCGTTGTTAATCATACCCAATAGATTTTCGGTTAACCAATTTTATCCTAATGTTTGAAATTTTCGCTAATTTTGTCCAATCGGCCCATTTTCCGTCCAAATTAACGGATCTCCGTTAGTTTTTAATAAAATAATAAATTTAAATATAAAAACACTCCAGTAGTTTTTAAAATTTAAAAAATAACCCCTAAAATATATAAAAATAACAAAACAATCCCTTTTCACTTTTTTATTTTATTTTTCTCTATTTTGTTCCATTTCTCTTAACTATTGTTAATGAACATAAAAGTATATTATATGAGTTTTAAAAAAAATTATTTATTTTTAAACTCTACCGTAAAAATTAATCTTTGTATAGTTGTAACACATGATTGTATTTATATAAGCATGTTAATCTTTTTAATAATATAGTTTAGTAATAAAGACACTATTTTTCTGACTTATTTTATTCTTCCTAACATAAAGATTAATAACATTTAAATGAAACTAATATTCCACATAAAAATAAAATATTAGTTCAAATAGAAAAAAAGTAACATAGTTTAGTGTATTACAATTTAACTCAAGCGACTATAACTTGCATTACTATAATTCATAAAAAATAACTAAAATATAAAATAATTAAAACCTTAAAAAAATCTTTCAAACATAAGTTTTCCTTCTTAAACCTAAAACCTATTTTCTATCACAACAACTTATTACCATGTCATTACCTCCATTCATTTATTTTAAACTAAAATAATATAGAATAAGCTAGTAAGACTTCCTCTATAGTTAGATATATTAATATCTCAAATAATTGTTACAAAATGTTAAATTCTCGCATTGATAAGTATACACATATTTTAATAAATTATATTATGCCATGTAGTCTCTCTAGTTAAATTGTAATACACTAAACTATTCTAATATATTATTTTTTTATTTAAGCTAATATTTTATTTTTATGTGAAATATTAGTTTCATTTAAATGTTTTTAATCTTTATGTTAGGAAGAATAAAATAAATAAAAAAATCATGTCTTTATTGCTAAACTATATTATTAAAAATATTAACATGCTTATATAAATACAATCATGTGTTACAACTATACAAACATTAATTTTTACGGTAGAGTTTGAAAATAAATAAATATTTTTTTTAAAAATCATATAAGATACTTTTATGGTCATTAAAGTATTTAAGAGAAATGGATCAAAATAGATAAAAATAAAAAAAATAAAAAGGGATTATTTTGTTATTTTTATAAATTTTAGGGGTTATTTTTAAAATTTTTAAAAACTATTGGGGTATTTTTGTATTTAAATTTATTATTTTATTAAAAACCTAACAGAGATCCATTAATTTGGACGGAAAATGGCCCGGTTGGACGAAATTGAGGAAAATTTCAAACATTAGGGTAAAGTTGGCTAAGGAAAAATCTATTTGGTATGATTGATGACGAGAGCAAAGCTTTGGGTAGGAACGACATTTTTTCCCGTAAAGCTTGTTACAAACTATGGTCACGGCAGCTCATTCACAATAAATTCAAGGACTTATGTGCAATTTGTTTCCAAAACAAAATATGGGGAGTGGGGAGCTGAATCAGCTGATCTCCAACCAGACCTCGAAGTCTTCAAAGAGAATAACAGCCAAAAAAGCTTCAATCCAATCCTGCAGAGATCACTCACCGCCGATTCCAGCTGAAATTGGTTCGATCTTTAGCTACCCAATTCGCAAACAAACAAATTCCAATGCACAAATAGATACAAAATAAACCGCTCTTTTTCTTTTTTTTTTAATTCATATCCCACATGTCGATGCTTGTTGAATCACAAGTGCAGCACAGTTTTGACCCAATTGTAAAGGGTCGTTTTCTGCCCGAATTTTCGATTTTACGATGACAAGAGACCAAAAAGAAGCGAGCCCATTTCTCCCGGAGGACCTTCCCCTTCCTTGCACGGTGTTTCTCTTTGCTTTCTGCCCTCCTGTTCGAAAAGTGATGTTTGCATGTTTATTGATGTCATCTTTATTGTTGATTTCTAATATCTTGGTTAAGGTTTTTCTTTTTTGCTGGCTCGGCCTTCAATTCTTGCTTCGTTTATTTGTTCTTCTGGGTTTTGTGCAGTCAATTTCATTACCCATGACGAATTTGATTATACTAGATGATCGTGTTGCCTTTTGTCCGATTAAGAAGTAATTAGCTCATTCAATTGGAAATACTAATTGATGAGCTTCATATATAGTAATTTCTTTTATGTTTTATCTCAAGATTACTTGTGTTACTCTGTCAATGTTGATGATATGACATGTACTTGTTTTTTCTCCTTGGCCTGTTTTGTCATTGTTGGTTATTGGAGCTCAGGCAGAATCTAGTTCTTATGGTGTTGGGAATTTCTTGTTGAATGCAGAAACTGAGGGATACAGTTCCTGAACAAGGTTCTGGACCAATGGATAACTATAATGGTTCAGTGTATGTGGGTATTAATGATACGCCTTCTCCTCGAGCTAGTCATAACAGTAGGAAACTTTCCCTCTTGCCTCTTGTTTTTCTTATCTTTTATGAAGTATCAGGAGGCCCTTTTGGTGTTGAGGATAGTGTGAGGGCAGCTGGTCCTCTCCTGGCTCTTTTGGGATTTCTAGTATTCCCATTTATATGGAGTGTTCCTGAAGCTTTAATCACGGCTGAGATGGGTACTATGTTCCCTGAAAATGGTGGTTATGTGGTATGGGTTTCCTCGGCGTTAGGTCCTTTCTGGGGTTTCCAGCAAGGTTGGATGAAATGGTTAAGTGGGGTTATCGATAATGCATTGTACCCTGTTTTGTTTTTGGATTATTTGGATTCTGCCGTACCTGCTTTGAGTAGCGGATATCCTAGGGTTCTCGCTGTGTTAGGCTTGACTATTGTCCTAACTTATATGAACTATAGGGGTATGACTATTGTGGGATGGGTTGCGGTTGTTCTTGGGATATTCTCGATTCTTCCATTTGTGGTTATGGGCTTCATTTCACTGCCCAAATTGAGGCCTAAGAGATGGTTGGTGGCGGATGTACACAACGTGGACTGGAATTTGTACTTGAATACTCTCTTTTGGAATCTGAACTATTGGGATTCCATCAGTACACTTTCAGGAGAAGTAGATAATCCCCAAAAAAATCTCCCGAAGTCTCTTTTTTATGCTTTGCTGCTAGTTGTATGCAGTTATTTTTTCCCGCTTCTGGCCGGAACTGGTGCTCTTCCCCTCGAAAGAGATTCTTGGACAGATGGTTATTTTTCAGATGTCGCAAAAATGCTTGGTGGGGTATGGTTGAGAGATTGGATTCAGGGTGCTGCTGCTGTATCGAACATGGGGATGTTTGTAGCTGAGATGAGTAGTGATTCTTTTCAGCTTCTTGGTATGGCTGAAAGAGGAATGTTGCCTGATTTTTTTGCCAAAAGGTCTCGCTATGGTACTCCACTGGTCGGTATTCTATTCTCTGCTTCTGGTGTGTTTTTACTTTCGTGGTTGAGCTTTCAGGAGATAATAGCTGCTGAGAACTTTTTATATTGCTTCGGGATGATACTCGAATTCATTGCATTTATCCGTTTGAGATATAAGAACCCGGATGCTCCTCGGCCTTATAAGATACCGGTGGGTAATGTCGGAGCCATTCTGATGTGTGTGCCACCAACTATATTAATAGGTGCCGTGCTGGCCTTTTCTTCCCTGAAGGTCATGATAGTTAGCCTTGTAGCAGTTGCAATAGGACTTGTAATGCAACCGTGTCTTAAGCGGATCGAGAAGAAGAAATGGCTCAAATTTTCTGTTAATGCTGATCTTCCAGATATTCAAGTTTCTTCTGCTCATGGAAGTGCAGAAACTTTGATCAGATGACAAGAATATGCTGCAAAGGAGACAGACACCTTGGTTTGCAGTGCAGGAGCCCCGGTATTCTTTCTAAACATAATTAGAGGGTAGTTAAATCCTCCTAGAGGTCCTGTTACGAAGCATCTTAGGTTGTCCAATGCTTGTATCTCCTTATCAATTTGTATCTGTATGCTGCTTGGATTGTACCTGCATTAACAATTGGTAAGAGTTGAATATCTCTCCAGTGAACTGAATTTTGGCCTGTGTGTATGTTTTCTTCCCTTGTATCTTTAGACCTTCCTTTTGATCGGCAGATGATCTAGTAGTGGACATGTCTGTATCAATCTGAGCTAGATTTGTGATTAATGCATAATATGGCAGAATTTCTGTTCTCATTTTTCCCATAACAAAACTCTTTTTGTATCTTGTGGAACACTTTGTTTAGTGACATTCTGCCTTGCATACCGCATCTTTCTTCGAGCATAGAGGAACAATACATCCCTGTGTCCCAAAGTAAGGCGCAGTTTTAATTATAACATCATAAATAGATCTAGAAAAAGTTACTCGTTCAACTTGTAGTATTCCACAGTAAATATCACCATCTAGAGAAACACTCCTTTTCGTCTGTCTTACAAGGCACAATTGGAGGGACTTCCCTACCCAACACCTTTCTCAATAACCTCTTATTTACTCTTAAAATTAGTAATCAAAAATAACAAATTGAAACAGCTAGTGTCTGCCCAGTTTCACAACCATGTTGCAGTGACTTTAAAACTTTGCTGGTCTTTGGTGTAATGCCCACAAGCAATTACAAGCATTCCAGAAGTTAATCTTCGGAACATTGGCGATGCCATTCACAAATCTTGTTCCTTTGTCCCACACCATTATGTGTGAGCAGTAGCAAATACAGTCTATTGGCTCCTCACTCTTGACATGATGAAATTGAGATTTAATATCCGAAATCATTCAAATTCAAACTCGAGTTCATTAAAAAAGAATCAAGGTGGTCTTGAATTGATGTAAATCGTTTCGAGTTGTAAGTCCATAATTTTAACCCAGGTGTGGTTTTTGATATTGGTAGGACTATGTTCCTCTTTTGTGTTGTTTCTACTTTTAGCCGATAAAAGCAGACGGTTCACAGGTCAAACAAAAGATGAGGTTGTTTCCAAATTCCCGCCCTCATTGATTTTAAGGATTCTTCAATAGTATGTATCTTAATGTACGATGAATGTGTTTTTGGAGTTGAAGTTTCAGTGTATAAACTGGCAAAGGGGAACGTGTGAGTTGGCTTCAGAAGCTAGTGTACGATGATTCAGTATTTCAGTTTGCACCTAGATAGTCTCGCCATAAAAGTTGTTTATTTGATTCTTCTGATTTTACTGTTGCAGACAAGGATTGGTATATCTTCTCACTTTCCTTCAAAATTTGAAAAACACTTCACTTTGTTCTGTTGTTTTACCTCAACAACATGGATTATATTCCAGGACCGGTGGAGTATAAGTTTTAGTTGCAAAATAAGTAATTCGAAAATGATATAACAAGTGTATTATGCAATTGAAAACATTAATTCTATTGTGAAGGAATTCGTGTCTTTCATGCGTACGCACAGGTGACTGTTGACAATCTGAGATGGGTTCTTTCTTTTTTTTTTTTTTTTTATTTTTTATCCTCTATTAATTTTGTAAGATTTTTCTTCAACGAAAAGACTAAACCGCATAAAACATCCCGTACATTTGGTCGATCATTTTCATCCCGTGTGTTCGAAAATGCTCATTTACGTCCCATTTCGTCCAAAAAGAGCCATTTTTCGACTATTTACGACTCAACGTAACTTTCCATCCATTTGACTGTGAAAATGGAGGGTATTGTTGTCTTTTCGCTACTCTTCTAGTTTTTAAGTATTTAAGGAATAAAATAATAATTAAATAATAAAATAATTATAAATTTCAAAAAATCAAAAAAAAATTTCATCAATTTAAAAGGGTGGGGCCGCAGTAAATGAAATTTATAAAATATTTATAAACTTCAAAAAATCAAAAATAAAATTTTCATCAATTTAAAAGGGTGGGGCCGCAGTAAATGAATTTTTTTATCATTTACCACTGTGAACAGTGAAAATTTTTATAAAATTAAAAATTTTCAAAATTCAAAAAAATTCAAAATTCGAAAAAGAAAGTAAATTGGCTCCATTTACCTTCTTACCCAAGATGCTACAGTAAACCCTAAAAGTAAAATAATTTTTTTTTCCTTTACAAAAAAGGGGAACGGCCCCTTTCTCTTCTACCATCGCTGTCTCTCTCTTCCACCATTAATACTTCTTCTCTTCCTACAAACCAATTCAGATCTAGCCATGGCCGCCTCCAGTAGTGTTAACAACGGTAATAATTTGTTTAATTATCGGTTCGATGAACATATCTGCAATGAATGTAGGTCGACATGCACAATTAAGGTATCAAGTAGCAGAAATAATCCGAGGCGGCTTTATCACCGTTGCCCATATCACGGTTTTCTATGGGTCGTTCCGATCAGAGATGCTGGGTATGGGTCAAATGATTTAAGAAGAAAGCACGTTGGGCGGGTGGATACAAATTATGAAATTGTTAATGATGGTAATCGCGATGTGGCAAGTGAGGGATGCAATCCCATTTGCAAGTGTAACTGCAAGTGGGCGTATAAAATTCTTGTATTTCTTCATGTTAGCTGTTTGTTATGTATTCTAGTCCTTTTTCTGGTTTTAGCAAGTAAGTGATAGTGTATTTTGAGTGCATTTTGCTTCTCTATGTCAATTATAATGTATCGTGGTGGAATGTCGATCTGTGAGGGAACTTTGATTTGTGTTTGGTTGTACCAAGTTTGGAACTGAATGAGTAATTTGTGCAACTATTTTCATCCCCTACTTTCTATTGAAACATTTTTCATCCCTTACATTTGTGTGGAAACTTTTTTCGTCCCACGTTACATGGTCAAACACCAAATATTGTTTAGTCAATACAAACCCTATAAAATAAGGTCCCACTCTTGTTGGATAATATAAAATAGTAAGGTAAGGTCAATAAGTAGTGCATTTCCAGATTTGTCAAAAAGAAACCAGAAAAAAACACATAAGCGTTGCTGCAATGGCTCTCCCAAATCTGCCTTTTGGTCCACGTCCAAAAGACAAGAATGATGACTTCCTTCCTGTATACTGTAAGTATGATTATAATTATACTCGATCTAGGATATGGTTCTGCATTAATAGCATTTTTTTAGGTTGTTTAATCAGTTAGCAGTAGCAGTTTTGGGAGCATTCAAATGTACTATGGTGGGTGTCTGTATAAAAAGCCCTATCCAGTTTATCATGGTGGTGAATTTAGGATGTTCAATAATGTGGATCTTGAAACCATTTTCATTCTTCAATTAAATGAGATGGCACGGAGGATTGGGCTTGTCAGATCTGTTTCATTCTACTCTATTAGTGAGGTTAATGGAGTGGAGAAGATAGCGGAAGATCGGGCATTTTCCCTCATGTGTGTTGACGCTTTGGATGACAATAGATTAGTTGTGGTTTATGCACTTGACGAAGATGAAGAACAATGTTTTGCTAGAAATGATTCATTCACGCATGGTGACCCTGATGATAGTGATGATGAAGATGACGTCCATGTAGTTTTGGAAGAGTGTGAGTGCGAATCTTCAGAATCTGAATGTTATTGTGAGATTCCTAACCCAAAGCAATTGATTAGGGCCTTAGCCTATGCATGGGTTTGCAAGGAAGCCAAGGATTGATTTCTTGTGTACTTCAAATCCTCTTTAATAATGGGTTCAAAGTTGTAATCCTTTATCTTTTGTTGCATTTGTGTAAAATTTTGTATTTCGCTACAAATCTGAACAAAACGGTTCAACGAAATTGAGTATTTCTACTTTGTTTTGCAATTTAGCGTGCGAAAAATCCCGACTTGCATTATTTATAGCACCAAAAATAGTTAAGGATTTAGATATATAGGACAACAATAGTTAAGGATTTTGATGTTTAGGACAAAATTAGTCAAGGATTTAGATACATAGGACCAAAATAGTCGAAGGTCTTGATGTACAGGACATAAATCGTACAAGATTTTGAGGTTTAGTACCAAAATAGTTAAAGATTTTTAAACTCCTGATTTTAATAAAATCTACGATTATAGGACTTTAATATATTGATTCTAAGTCTACTAGAATCTTAATCTGTGTTAGAATCTTAAAAATCACAAATTACTGATGAAATAAAAAAATTAACTACAAATATACAATACCATCACTTTTAGTCTTTCACGGTTTCATTTACTCCCCCTGGGGAAAAAAAAAAAAGAAAAGAAAACATTGTTTCCTCCTCTGAAAAAATCGCCAACAATCCATACTTTAAACCAAAAGCTAAACAATCCAAGCTAAACAATCCATACTTTAAACCAAAACCTAAACAATCCAAGCTAAACAATCCATACTTTAATCTAAAAGCTTAACAATCCAAGCTTAACAATCCATACTTTAAACGAAAAGCTTAACAATCCAAGCTTAACTATCCAAACAAACTACCAAAATACATTAATATGTAGAACAAAAGCCTAATACAACAGTGCCCTAATCTGCTTCGGGTGGGATTGTTGCATCTTCCGAATCTTGATTACCAGCTACATCTTCTGTGGGTGGCATATTTTCATTTGGTTCTTCTCTGTACATATCAGCAACGGTGCTTGTACATGTTGTCCGATAATGTCCAGTTTGCTTACACAATTGACATTGAACAGTCCTTTTTGCCTAGAAATTTAACATCATCAATTTAGAGAGAAAAGAAAAAAAGATAAAGTAAATGAACAACATCTTGTACATGTTGAAAAACAATGTACCTTCTTTTTAGGCTGGCCCTTGGTATTGGGTTTCTTCTTCCTCTTCTTAGACTGCTCAGCTGGAACAGCTCCACCAGTACACTGCCTCTTGTTATGTCCTTCAAGGCCGCATTCTGAATACTTCTAGGTCATTGTGCCAGTTCGAGACAGAACCTCAACATCACCTTTTTTCTTTACACGCATTTCCCTCAACTCTTCCTTAGTCTTCTTTCTAGACTTTGGAGGTCGTCCAGCTAGAACACACTACTAGAAAAACCCCCATATAAAGGCACTTAAAAATGCATTTTATTCTATTTTATTGAGACACTTTGGCTATAGAGACACTTTCGATAAATGTCTTACATTTCAATGTGGCAGCATATCTTGAACTATAAAGACACTTTTAAGTATCTTTGTAATAGGTTTATAGCGACATTAACTTACACTAAGTAGCGGATAAATTCATTTTTTATTCTTTTAAAATTATTATTATTATTATTATTATTATTATTATTTTTAGAAGTCTAAATGCAAAAAATAAATAAAAAAAGAGAAGAGACGATTAAAAAATGTAATGCAAACTTCAACAT